TCTTTGCTTGCCATGCATGTATGTCAGACTTGTTTTCACCCAAACATTTCAACTACCACAAAAGCCAAAATTGCAAAGTAGGTATCCAAATTATACTTATTCGTCCTTTAACCCCACCCTCCTCACCAAAGCCACTCTTTGTTTCAAGAAGCAAATTACACTCCACCCCACTCCAAAACACATTTGGGAACTAATGATATTGATGCACTTTTTAAAAATATCAACGGAAACGAGAGTGATCGAACATTGGCGTCAACCCTGTCTGTCTCCCGGCCGTTCGTTCGTTGGTTGGCGTGTGGTTAACAAGTCATTAAATTCATCTTCAAGTCAAATTTATATTCACTGTTGGTTATGATGCATATTCTTTAGGAGTTATTGCAATTGGTTTACTTTGGACTTATACAAATCTGTAGACGTTCTTATAGAGTGTATAACCTGATTTACCTGAAATTTATATAGTGTTTATATGCACAACCTTGCTCAAAACAGCCCAGTCGGAGTGTAGCATCATCTCATGATATTAATTTTCAGACGAAGTTCCGTTGATGATTCCAGGAATTAAAACTTTTAAACCGGTGACACACCCCGGCATTGGCCGAGGTACTGGTCGACCAAGTGGCGAAGCAGTTGAAGATATGAAACCAGAACAGCCAGGTAAACCGGCTACAATTAATACACTATTCGAGGCTTTGCGCAAGTAAAATTAGGTTCATTTGCAGAATTTTCAACACATAACATCACAGTTTGCATGGAAAAAGGTAATTATGTTACAAATAGTGAAGAGTGGAACACTGAAATCTTAATCTTATCTTACCGAACAGTTTTTCTGCATTTTCGAGTGACATGAAATCACGTGATTCTGGTTCGGTGGCCATTTTAAATTAACAGAAATTTCGCATAGCAGTTGGGTTTAATCAAATCATATAATTATGCGGTAAGGTTTCACCTTTATTTCAATGGGAATTGGTTTACTATGTGAAGCTATGTACAGTACAGTTTGGGGCCAGTGTCATTGGAAATTAAGGGAGTTATAGGCCAGTAACTTTTATGTAGTCAAATGACTACACAACTTGCTCAAAGGAAGGCCTTAGGACGGTCCACTACTGTGACTGGAGCAAGACTGAAGACATCAGTAGTGGAACCATTTCTACAACTCGACAAATAACTTGTGTGTCTATCGCCGTCAACTATAGTTTAAGACACCCCGCTGTCTATTTGAATTATCCACGTTTTCAAGTTTTATATATAAATATCCATTCACAATCCATGGATATGAACTCAACAGACTTTATGCACAATACTTATACTCAGATTAATGTTATTTTTGAATATGTTTTCCACGTTACGAGCACCTGTGAAAATTTCAGCTTCAAGTTTTATTTTTCAGTTGTAATCGTATCAAATGAAGTTGCTTTCTTTCTTGAAAAATCCGTCAGGATGTCTTGTAAATTTTTTAATGTTGCGAATTGGTCAATGATCACAGTTACTCACCAATCAAACACTATTGTAAACATCAAATCGACGAAACAAATACAAGAAATAAACAATCAGGATGCCCATTTGATTATTATACCCACTCTGACGTCAACAAGTGGCAGTGTAGTATTAAATATAATACAAGTTAGATGTAGCGATAGCGGGAAATATGAATGTACCGTATTCACCAAAGATGGCGTTTCAGCTTCTTCAAGTGGATTTTTGCATGTCAAAGGTAAAGTCTGTTATTGCATTATTTTATTATTATATTAAACATGCCATAGCAGTTACACAAAAATTGTTTGTTGGGTCTCTTGTAGGTAAACCTATAGCAATAAACCAACAACCAAATAAACAGTGTGCTATGAAGGAAATTTTGTCCGGACAGCGGCGCAACGGCCTACTCTTATATCGAATTTCACCTGCCAAGGGATCTTTTACGTGCACGCCAATGTGTACACGGGACCTAGGTTTTCCGTGCATTCCAAACGACTAGACAGCTCTCCATGTCAGGCCCTCCGCCCTGTACCACTGACAAGGGGAAACCACACTATGGAAAATCTCGATGAACTGTCTCGGCCAACACCGGGAGCGAACCCGCGACCTCCAGGCTAGCGAGCTAACGTCTTACTCACTTAGCCACCGAGGCTCCCTGTATTGTACAAATTATCTTGGATAGTTTGGTATAAAAGACAAAAAGTGCAGGAGAAATGTTAGCTATGTGAACTTACAGAATAAGTGGAGTGGAATCGGATGTTTTGTAATTAGTAAACATACACTACCTCCTTCACTACACCCGTGAGCTGCATATCGTGTTATGCAATAGCCAAAATAAATACAGCACACATTTTTAGCCAAACAAAAGAGAAGTACTCCAGAAAGAACATGTACATCCTGCCTCGTGCACTGATTGGGTCGATCGTAATTGACGTACTTATATTTTATTATAGTGTTACCAAAGAAGCCAGTCTTGACATTACCTGATCAGATCATCGCAAACCAGCCAATAAAATCACCAATCATATGCCAAGCAATCGTTGGGTTTCCTGTGGGAACGATGACTTTGAAGATCAAGACACCGCATAGTTCTACCTTTATCCAAGTTCCTGTACAAACCCATTATACTGTTAACGAATGTCTGGTTAATGGATTTGTTCTAATCTCGGCGTACACGCCCATTTTAGAGGCTAATGGTACAAAAGTTCTTTGTGAAGTTGATAATACTCAGTTCGATATACCAAATTATAATACGACTAAAGAAATAACAGTTCTTGGGGGTAAGTGTATGTAACGGAAAATCGTCCAAAGTATTAGAGTAAGCACTCAGTAACGGGATCGACAATGGGTCTACTGGGAAACGGCTCCCACGGCAACCCACAACAAATGTCAGTCTGAGCCCACATCACTTTTCCCCCTTGTATCGGCTATGGGGCTGGCGGGAGGGTCCATCCCAGGCCGAGTCGTAGCACGGCACCCGGGAAAATCTACTATTTCCGACGCCACTGTATAAGTCCTTAAAAACAAAAAGGTGAGATGACCTAGCACAGTACCACCCGCCATTCATCAGTAATGCAATGAACGGACTGCATCCGTAAATCTGGAGTTAGATGGGCCTCAACAGGTCCGAGGCCCCAGGGTCCCCACCAGGTTAATCCTACACTTCCCAAATGGAGGCTACTGACAGTGTAAAGCGATGAAAGGAATAAAAGTTCTTTTGGGCGTTAAGTATATCGGAATTTGCAAATATGAAAGTTTCGATTTTATTCTGATCAATAACTTATTATCATAACAGTTTATGCTCAATTATTTAGCAAGCTGCAATCTGCGCCAACCTGGACTCTCTGCCACAAGAATGGCCAACAATAGCCATACAATTATATCATTACTTTTGTCACTCAAATCTAAGATTAGTGCATCTTCAAATTGTACAATGAGGGGTTACACTTGATTCTCATTTGTAAAATATATTTAAAAAAGAACACTCTATATTCCAGTAACAAAGTATACATGATTTTAAATATTGTTATTTCATTCCTGCATAGGGTGATGACTGTACACTGCACGCTTATTTTATATACCGGTGGAAAATCAGAACGATAAGACGACCCCCTTTTTCTCAGTCAGACCCCCATTATAAGTTACCTTCTCAGATATGTAGGCTATCAGATTTTGTTTGTTGGACGTTATATAATTCCAAAAATATAATCATCTATAGAAGTGTGGTATCTCCATTGTTTTGTGCACAACTATTGGTAAATAAGGAGTAGAACGGTCGGAGATGCATCTTTGAAAAGGTAAATGATTTAGCTCTCGAACAGCATTTCTCAAAAACCCTTGAAGCTTCAGAGACAAAAAACATGAGCTGTTTTTCTAACACTCTTCTGGTCGTAAACCCTCACAGCATCCACCACAAAAGGCTATGGAAAAACTCAAAAACATAGTGGATTAAGAAGTATACTATTTTGTAGATCAAATATGCAGGAAAGTTGGTAACGGCATGGTGTTACGACATCCGTACTTCTGTAATAAACATATTACATGTTATCATGGGCTTCCTACTGTAATCAACTGTCCACAGGATTTCTGTTTCAATCCCGTAAATGGCAAATGTGGTGAAACTGGTAGGTTAAACATATTAAAACCAAGGTAACCAATAGATTTATCTTTTAAAAAGAAATAATAATCTGCATCTAGATTATGATAAGCCGGAATTTAAAATGGGGTTTTCTGGTATCAAAACATTAAAGGACAGTAAATAGGCCTAAGTTGCACTTTATTAAATATTTAAAATTTCCGTAACAGACAGCAGCCATTTTCAGCCTCAATATGGCAGTTTAGTTCAATGTTGCATTGCATCCATGCTTCCTCTCTTTTAAACAAGGATACATACACTTGTAGACTTTCTCAATAAAACCGGATGCCGCTTTTAAAGATTGTCCTCTGTCTTAAAATTATAAAAAGTTCAAACTGTTAGCAAAAATAAAATCCCATAGACAATATGGATAAAGCCGAGCTTAAAGATGCGTTCCCAGAAAAGTATTTATCGGGTGGTTATTTCCAATAAAAGTATGGTAATTTTGGTATATATGGAAAGTAGAGATATCCAATCTTACTAGAAAAATACTGGATTCCCCGAAAAACACTCATGGAGCGTCTACAGGACAAAAATGTAAGGGTTCCCCTAATCAACAGCTCGACGATTAGGAATTTCTGCACGCGTGATATCAAAGGTCACACGCGAACATTATGTACAAGTTGATAAACTTTATGAAAAGTTAGACGTACCACACTTTCTGAGATAAAAATGACGGAAAAAGACGCGTGTAGTGGATAATCCGAGAATTTAATTAGGATTCGATATTTGTAATAAATAGTAAGCGATTAAAGACAACATCGTCTTATGTATGCCATGAATTCTCCTCAGACTTCCAAGAGAGGTAAGTCACGTGACGTAAACATGACCTGGTTTGATCGAATTTTTATAGCAGGACATTCCTTCGCAATTACAATGTTTGAGAAGGATTTGAAGCAAAGTTATGACCATTAAATCACCCAGTTTGTACGCGGGAACCCATCTTTAAGTGGAGTTTACAAATGGAGTTAACAAATCCCATTTGAAAGTGACTCTTCGTTTGTTTTCTTCCCGCAGCCATGGATATTGAAACTTCTGTCGAGTCTACTGGTAAAGGAGCGGCGTCCATATCATGCCGATTGATCAATTTCGAAGAATGGCAGACGATATTTTTAATGAAACGAGATAATCAAATTGATATTCATCAGATCCTACTAACCTTTGACAGACAACGGAAAGTCATTTGGTTTAATAAACATCTGGAATCAAGATCACTAACTAAAGTTAAAATATCCAGATACGATGTAACCTTCCAACTGTGGATTTACGGTCTGCAATGTTCAGATAAAGGACTTTTTGCTTGTCGCGCATCCAGTGGTTCTAGGAATTTAGAAGCCGAAAGATTTTTAGAGGTGTCAGGTAAGCAAAGCGGGGTGTAGTTTGTAATTCGTAAGAAAGTCGTATTGCAAATTGAGAAGATAAGATAGGCTGTCAGTCATGATTTTGGCTGAAGAGGTTCATACAGTATCCTAACCAGAGGCCTTAGAATCATCTTAGGTACTACATGTAAACAGGAAGTTATTTACCACCATAAACTACAGAACCTTTTCCTAGCAAAACATATTCCTGGGGTCAATCTAAAACAGCTATATATTTCATTTCGGGGCGTGGGTTACATATCGGAGAGAGAGAGAGAGAATTCGCTTATTCTTAGGGGTCTTTTGCAGTGGGAGAAAACTTGGTGACCCGGAGAAAATCCTCGAAATAGCAATGTAATAATTGTACCCTGACACGGGAGTTCAGGGTATAGTTGTTTTATAAAAGAAGTTAAAATCTTCTGTTTCAGCAAAACCAGAACCTCCAGAAATGCTTCTTCCACTAACTCTTGTTAATGGCAGTTCTAAACGAAACAACATAACATGTTCAGCAGACGTTGGTTTTCCGCCAGGTAATCTGATTCTAAGCAAAAGACTTCCATATGAATCTCTATTCCATGATATTGTGTTTGACCATTTGACCAAAGTTACAGAGAAAGATCAATGTACCACCACAGTTAAGGGGGAATATTTTGTATCCGGAGAGGATAGTCTAAATGGAACGTTGATAAAATGTGAAGTCCGCAATGCAAGTGGTATACCCTCAGTCAGTGTTAATGATACCCTTTATGTTCTGAAAAGTAAGTCTGTATCTTTTCTGATAAAACTGACTGGATGAGTGAACATTCTGAGAGAGAGAGAGGGAAAAATGGGGTTTAACATCCACTTGACCCAAACCTGGTCATATTGCGACTAACATGGTTCAATTTTATTTCAATAATCCTCTTGTGCATGAGTTTTTGGCAGTGGGAGGAAACTGGAGGACCCACAAGGTTGGACAGGTGACCCCACTCCTTGTCATGCACAAGCGGGGAATCGAAACTACGCCACTTGACTAAATGACTTGTGTTAACAATTCGCCCCCCCCCCCCTTTGATAAGCAGTCTAATCATCTAATTAAATATAACTTGATAGAAATATCTTTGTAGAAATTGGCACATAACTGTCCGGAGGTAATTGGTATGGCAATGGTGGTACCAAATGCCCCTCTCTTGTCACAAATAAAAGTACTAATATCTTGATTAAAGGTGAGATAAACATAGACATGAACATAGAATTTCATCAGATACATAAGTCTATCGTTCATAAGTTCACTGTGGCTGTTGTTATTCTGTATGGGTTTTTATCTTCAGAAAGTGAATGTAAAGAAAGAAAAGGTGGTTATATACCTCATCCTAATGATTGTAGATATTTTATACAATGTGCTATATCAGATATCTATATCAGTAGATGTAGTCGGGGTTTGTGTTTTAATCCAAGTACAGAGAAATGTGATCTGCTGGAACCAAAGACCACACATTCAGGTAAACTGATTACTGTAAATAAAGGTGATGTATGTAGATTCAAATGTATTGAAATGGTAACGATTACATATATGTTCTACTAATGTGGTAATGTAGACATGCAGGTGGCAATGCTTACTGCTGTATATGTGGTAATTATTATGTATATGGTAATAACTACATATGAGTAATGGCGACTTAGGTGCAGTGATTACATGTGATATAATGTTATGGGAACATTAGGTGATATGGATTACAGTATTACACATAGATAATATATGGATGATATTGATTACATTGATTACTTAGATCTGTGTGGACTGATGTAGATAGACTTTACATGGCAATTATTGTGTAGATTGGTAATGATGATAGACGAAAATTATAAATATTACAATGCTTAAAGTTGCATATTTTTTTAGACTATTTTCAAATTTCAAATAAATTAAATTCAGATTTATTTTTCAGCTGAATCAATTCATCCCTGTAGATCTAATCGCCATGGTGACTATTTCCCTCACCCTGTATTGTGTAATAAATATTTTTGGTGTGTCCAAGGAAAGGAAGTGATACAACATTGTCGTCTTGGCACCCTTTACCACCGCAATGGACAGTGTACATTTAATATAGCAGAATCATTCTGTTACAATAAAACACAAACAGAATGATGAAATTCCTGCAAGTAGAAGGTGTGAAATATATGAACTTACATTATATGAATCTTAGTTTGTATCTAGTCTACCTATTTATAATTACCAAAGAATAAATATTTCTTAGAAACGAATGTTAAAATCATTAAGACATTATTATATGAAGGTGCTGATTCATAAGTAACTATGATTGAGAGTATTATTTTGTGTCCTCATGTCCTTCCAGATATAATAAAAACCTACTTTTCTGCCCCAATGAGATTAATGAAGACACTGGTTCCTTATTCATGTAAAGTAAATGTTAAATATGTTTAAGAATAGGCATTTTCTTTGTCTGTGAGCTACAATTCAACAACATGTGTTAGCTCTCTGCCACAATATATGACCTACCCTTCAAATAAGTAAGTATATACTGAAATTCATAGTCATTTCAGAACAACTAAAGAAACAAATTTTTTACGACATACACGTACATTTTTATTAAGATCCAAGCCACCACAGTCCTAAACTATAATCAACACTATCTGTTGTCTGTGTAAAATCTTCAGTATCAGAATCATCACTATCTCCTAATGCAGGATAATGTCTTTGACCAGATGAGGTTGCTAATAATGGTAAACTGGGATGTAAACTGAAATAAAATGATTCAGAATTTAAACACAAAAACCTTTATACTTCACAGGGAGAGGGAGATCACTAAAAAAAAAAAAACCAACAATTTTTACAATAATATAATATGTGAACATTTAATTTTCATGTTTTATAGTATTTATAGTTGCAGTCTTTATGTAGAGTGCAAACAATAATCTGCAACAAAGCATCAAAGTGATCATCCAAAAATTGCTAAAAGTGTCCTTTCAATTAACCAGAGTTAATATGTGATTTTTAATTGTGGTATGAATTCTTCTGCTTAAATAACGATAACAGTTATGTCCCTTTATTTTCATTAAAATGTCCGACAAAATTTTTTTTGAAATCCCATCACTGAACCAGACTATACATCACTGAAAACCTTTGCACTCCTTCCTTGAATAAGTTAGGGGGGTTGGAGGGCCGCATGGTTAGCACGTACGCGCGCTGTATCACACGGTCTGTCATTGAGTCAACTGGCGGGGTTTCGATTCCCAGGTTGTACGAGACAAGGAGTAGGGTCACCTGTCCAACCTCGTGGGATTTCTCCAGGTAATCCGGTTTCCTCCCACTGCTAAAGACCCCTACGCGCAAGCGAATTGTTTAAATAAAAAAAATTGAACCATGTGTTAGTCCCAAAATGACCTAGTTTGTGTCGAGTGGACGTTAAACCCGATTTCTCTCTCTCTCTCCCTTGAATAAGTTAACTACCCATAGATATACTAATTTCAAAAATAGTGAATGTGGTCGTTTGGCTACTAACAAGAAGTGTGAATTACAGTATGGCAGAAAACAACTGGACAGTACTTGACCAAAAAATATTGATGAGCATTCAATTTTCTACAGTTATTTGGAGAATTAAAAAAAAGTTGGTAATATAACTATATTTATAAGTAAAATTATATTTTGTTACCTGACACCATTAACTGTATCATGATGAGCTTGATAAGTTAGAATAGGTTGCGGTGTAGTATCAGTACCTAATACATCCCATATATTTATACTACCATTATGATTACCAGATATCATATACCTTCCACTACTATAAAACAAATACAGGCACAGCTGTTAGTTACATGAACATAATATAAATGACTGAGAAATAGTCTGGTCTTTTAGAAGACTAAGCATTTGTACATTATGTACTTGCTTAAAAACATTTTGTGAAATCTTGTTGAAACGTTACATTACAATAAACCAAGTGATTGTATCCATACTAAGTGTCCTAGTATTATAATTATATCATAAATCACTTGCTAATTGACTCTCAAGGATTAAAGCATACACCTCTTAGAATCAATTGTCATCACCATCTAGAAATAGACCCCAACTAAGAGGATAACTTTCTGGAAATTCAAATTTGGTGTGAACTTTAATATCTCAATGACCATATATTTTTATGAATTTTCGTCTTCCCTTCCAGTTTTGTGACTTCTTTCCTAGTCTGAACCAGCGGCTGCCAGGCAAGATACGCCCACATTTCCAAGAGATGGATAGAGAACAAGCTAAAAACAAAAGCAATTTTTTGTACAATCAGGGGCAATAATCCAGAAAGTTATAGTCTGAAATGCCAAATATCAAAAGGGACTGAGATCCTTGGGATATAAAGTTATGTTTTTTATAAGTTTCATCAAAATCGGATAAAAATTGTGAGGATCTACAACCTTCGTATTACATACTTTTACACACAAAGAGCGTCCATTTTGTCAGGCAGTTTCATTTCGATTTTCCCGAAGTTCGAATTCAACCTTCATTCAACAATCAGGGGCCATAATCCAGGAAGTTACGTTCAGATATGGGCAATTACAAAAGGGAACCAAAATCTTAGCGTGTAACGGTGATATATTCACACATTTTTTTTTAAATTGGATAAAAATTGTGACCTCTACAGGGACCACAAGCTAAAAACGCGATTTTTCGTATAATCAAGGGCCATAACTCAGGAAGTTACGATCTGATATGCACGAATATCGAGAGGAACCAAGATCTTCGGATTATAAACGTGTATTTCAAGTTTTGTCAAAATCAGATTAAAATTGTGACCTCTAGAGGGTCCACAACCTTGATATACCCGATGTTTACACTATTTGCATACGAGGGGCGGCCATTTTGTCTGGCAGTTTTGGTCCGATTTTCACGAAATTCGAACTCGACTAACATTATGGTGTAACAGTGATATATTCGAACGTTTTTATAAATCAGATAATATACTATTCAAAAAAAGTAGGGGATATTTGATTTTTAAGTGTTATTAAAGTCACCTAATGAAACTGACGAAGAAACAAATGACAAAATGAAATGAAGTTCACATTCATCGATTTATTCCAAATGATCGTTAGACTAAGTAAGGCACAGACTGACCATTATAAGGGTAAAATGATACCCGGGGTCAAACAGCAAAGTTACCACAGTATCACAACCAAGTCAGTAACGGGTAAATCCTCCTCTGTTTGCCAAACAAGCATTGATCCGACGTGGCATACTCCTAATGAGACGTCTAAGGTCATTTTGGTCCAGATTGTCCCATTCCTGTTGCAACACAGCAGCAAGTTCTTGAACATTGGCAGGACGTTGTTGACGTTGACGTAACCTCTGTCCAAGCATGTCCCAGACATGCTCGATGGGGGAGACTCAGTGCTGGCCAAGGTAATGTGGTGATGTTCTGTTGTTGGAGGTAACCTGTAACGATCCTGGCCCTGTGACATCTTGCGTTGTCATCCTGGAAGATGAAACGGCGGCCATGACGTCGTGCGAACGGCACAACATGGACTGCCAAGATGTTGTCCCGGTAGTACTGGCCTGTAACAAGCCCTGCAACAACATGTAAAGCCGTTCTTCCAGCAACAGTGATGCCTCCCCACACCATAACAGAACCACCCCCAAATCGATCATGTCTGATGACGTTAACGTCTTGGAAGCGCTCGTTTCGACGACGCCACACCCTCCTACGTCTGTCCAAAAAATCAACAGTGAACCTTGACTCATCTGAAAACATCACATTGCTCCAGCGTCGATTATCCCAGTGTTGACGATCCCTACACCAACGACGTCTTGCCTGAATGTGATGATCTCTCAAACAAGGGATCACGCGAGGACGTCGGGCGCGAAAGTGACCCCTATGCAGTCGATTCCGAATCGTCTGGCCACTCACTCTCACACCAGTGTCTGTTTGAAGACGAGCGCTGATCTGATTTGCTGTGATGACATGATTTCTCAAGGCCAAGGTACGGATAAATCGATCCTGGGCTTGAGTTGTCGCCCTTGGTCGACCTGAGCGTGGTCTGTCCTGTACAGATTGTGTATCACGGTATCTGGACCATAGCCTGCTTATGACAGACTGAGAAACATTCATCGTCCGCGCCACAACCGCCTGTGTTGTGCCGATCTGTAGCATGCCAAGGGCACGTAACCTTTCATTTTGGGTAAGCCGACGCATATCAAAATTTGTTTTCTGGTCACTAAAACAATTAAACTGATGTTTCCACCCTGGAATTCAATGCCACAATGACTGTAACATTCAAAGTCAGAGTCGTGCAAATCTTGGGTTGGACCCCCATGATGATCCCAAGCATCACCTGCATTCCATGCGGTAGCTATTGGTGCGTTTGGGCGTCACATGTAACTGGAAATGTTTCTTCTGTTAGGTTCTATAGTGACTTTTTTCGTAGTCATTTGCATATTTTAGTATTATGCCCCCAAAATCAAATATCCCCTACTTTTTTTGAATAGTATAATTGTGACCTCTAGAGGGACCACAAGCTAAAAACACGATTTTTCGTACAATCAGGGGCCATAATTCAGGGAGTTATGATCCGATATGCGCCAATATCAAAAGGAACCAAGATCTTTGGGATATTAACATGCATTTCAAGTTTCATCAAAATTGGGTAAAAAATGTAACCTCTGGAGTGTCCACAAGCTAAAAACGTGATTGTTCGTACAAGCAGGGGCCATAATCCATGAAGTTATGGTCCGATATATGCCACTATAGAGACGAACCGAGATCTTTAGGAGATAGACCTATATTTCAAGTTTCGTCAAAATCGGATACAAATTGTGACCTGTAGAGTGTCCACAAACAAATTGTAGAGGACAGGGGCGACGGCATAATACGTCCACATGAAAATGTGGGCGTATAAAAAACCTCCTTACTTGGCATATAAAATACTTTGGTAAAACATTTGTTCAATATGTAGTTACTAATATACAAACCTGTCTAAATCAAAATAAATTCTCTGATTCGTCTCCACTTCTCGTTTCATTGTCAGCAATATTTTACTTGGATTCCTCAAATCCCAACACAATATTTCTGGATCCTATGTTGGAAAAAAGTTTATAATAATTAAACAAACTATAATTTTGGAACCCTAAAGACATTAGTCATCTTTGAAAGTCATTCTGTGACTTGTATTTCCATTCCCCAAAGTTGGCTGAAATACAAGGAATAGAGTACTTTCTAGCCCACCTGCCTTTTCATACAATGCCTAGAAATCAGCGAAGGTAAGGACCACTTTTTAACCCATATTTCAAGGAATTGACAATCGAGACCCATCCTAAAAGGTTCTTCTTTTTCGTCCTTTCATTTATTGCATGTGAGATGTAAACAAAACATATTCACTACTTGAGATAAATTCATGTATATATGAACATATTAAATACCTTTCTTCCTCCACTGTATAGCTTTGTGCCATCTGGAGAAAACTTGATGTGAGTTACTCCCCCTTGTTGACCTTTAAAACAGCATGCTAATTCCCCTTTTGGTTCATAATATAATGCAACTGTAAACATATAGATAAATTAAACAAATTCGGTAAATTTAGACATTAATATGTTTTCACATTATTGAGAAATGAATTTAAATGAAATGGGGTTTAACGTCCAACTGTTCTGCTCCAAACTGGGCTAATGAAAACGGACATACACCATACAGTGTGCTATGAGGGAAATTTTGCCCGGACAGCAGCACTACTACGGCCTACTCTTATATCGAATTCCAACTGTCATGGGATCTTTTACGTCATGCCAATGTGTACACAGGACCTCAGTTTTTTGTCCCATCCCAACGACTAGACAGCTGTTCTTGCCAGACCCTCTGTCCTGCATCACTGACAAGGGAGAACCACACCGGAAAATCTGGATGAACTTCCTCAGTCAATGCAGGGATCGAACACCTGACCTCCAGGCTAGTGAGCCAGAGTCTTACCCACTTAGCCACCGTGATCCCCCACATTATTGAGTCATATGATTAGGAATTCATAGGGATCATTGTAATGGTAGACACAGAAGTATCGCTAGAACAGCTATGCAGTTTGGAAGTCCTACAGTGATAGCAGAATGCATGTTGTTTTGTGTAAGACAGACCTTGCCATAAAAAAATACGAGGAGTTTAAAGAATCATTCTCCCAAGCTTTTACTTGAAATCGAGTAGGCAAGCATCACCTACAATACACATACAGTTTATATGCATGACTATAGGGGTTATGCTTCAAATTAAAAATAAACATAGTTTCTACTATTAAATAATATTATATACAGATAATAATATATGAATAAGTCAACTTACTGGTTCTAGAGTATGATCCAGCAGCATATAAACTATAATCTACAGGACTGTGTTCTATACATGATATAATACCAGGCTGACCAATACTCTTTGCTATAATATAACATAATACATGTAATAGTACCTTCACTAATGCTATAAAATCTAAAGCAAACTTGAAGAACAGGAAAAATGACGCAATATGATATATTATCAAAAAGCTTAAAGTTACAAACCATGGTGGGGCATTTTTTGGATAAAATCTACTTTCCAGGGCTTAACTCAAGCTAGAATTCAAATTCAAATTGATCTTTTTTATAGACCTTTACCACATTAAATATAGGTGGCATTAGCTTGTTTATACTATTGATGATTGGAGTAGGCAGAAATGCTGCTATCTAGCAAGAGTCTCATTCCTAGCATACTGCACACTAACTGACCATAGAATAAAATGACCAAAGTATTGCATTGATGATTAGTTAAAACTCTATTCCATTCACTTAAAACATATCGCACCATAAAATTATACATTTATCTACATTTGTCAAAATGAACCGAGTACCCATTTTGCATACCACATGAGCATTGAACAGTCTCAAATATTAGGGAAATTCTCATTCAACAGAGTTAAGCAGTATAACAGGGGCACTTACATTTTAGATATTTTCATTTGAGTCAAGATTCTGTGTGTAACAGGAAGAGTGTCAGTAACATTCGGTTGAATTTGTTTAAGTTGTGATTTTTTAATGAAAGCATATAATTATTTTACCCATAAGGATTATTAATGATTCATTTTAATATTAATACTTGTTAATACCTTATCCAAGGGAGATAACTATTATTTTATATACAGTACTCTCTAGAATTATGGCAGAATAAAGTTCTGGTTGAGTGTATTCTGTGTCAGCTTGAGTGTTAGGTAGCTTTAACAAATAGTAACAGATTGTGGTTTATTTTTAAGAGTAAGAGAAGAACTTTGTGTAGTCTGTAGACAATCTATATTAGTGAGAATATTGCAATCCGAAATTTAGACTAAAATATCCACCAAAATAAACCCACCTTCCTTGAAGTCTAAACCATATGAACATTACAAACAAGAATTGTTTGCCTGGAGAAAGGTCACAGATTTGGAGAAAATAAAGCAGAGTGTAATAATAGCACTGAGTCTGCCAGAAGATGATATCAGAATACCAGGGAGAAAGTTTTTGATCAGCTGAAATTGGAAGGCCTGAAGAAAGATAATGGATTGGAACTATTGATAAAGTGCCCCGTGCAGCGAAAATTTTCTCTACTGGAAGTTGAACTCGACATGGAGAATGTGCTCGCTTCAGTGGCTTGTCTCGAAAGTGATTTCTGGCTAGTCCCGCGACACGATAACACTCTATAAATAGCCATCGCACATGAAATTCTCTACACATCTATCAACTATTACAGCCATAAAAAAACCTATTATTGACGTTTCTGAATAGCAGTAATATTTAACTTTTTGGTTATTACCACAGCTTTAGAAATTACATTCATTTTATCTTTTAAATTGCTTTATCATTAACTATACCATTAGGAGCGGCATATTTTGGTTTAGTACAAATAATATCTCTGAAACACTCGGGTTAGGCAAGAACATGAAACTAGCAGTAGTTTACAAGGTTCTTAAAACAGTTGTTGAGTTGCCTAACGTGCGTGTTTCTAAATTCAATTTCTTGTTCCAGCTTTCTGTTATGTTTCGTAAAAGAGTAGTCTTGAAATCCCAGCCTGTCAATCAGATGGAGAATGGTCGGTAGACTGGTTAAGCAAGACTAATTTCAAAACAATTCAAAAGTGCCCGGATATTATGGCTGACACTTGTAACCATTTTTCAGTCTATTATTTATTGATGGTTAAATGGTCATAGCTTATTAAGTACAACATGATCGTTCATTTAATGACTATAAATGTGCGAAACTGATTTAAGGCTTGGTATATATATAAATATTGTGGTGTAATTGTCAAGATATTTGGAGATATTTATTTATGGTGGGGCACCCTACTATTAACAGACAGTTTAGAGAAATTTGAGGTATTTGAAAATTTTAAGAGAGAAGTGGATCAGACTATTTCAGAATATATATATCAATTTTTGATGCTATTTATACGAAAATAGAGAAGAAAAATATGAAGTTATACCAACTAAAAAATTAAACCCAACTGGTTGTGATGGTCGAACACTTACATGTAGAACATGTGGTTCATTTAGACATTTAGTTTCTGTGTGCCCAGATAATTGGGAGAATATGGCAAAAGTAAATATTGCGGAGCAAGAAGAGGAGGTAATTCTATTCACAGGAAGTAAGAAAGATAATGTTAAAGAGTTAGCTGTTGATGCCACAAATTGTGCTGTATTAGATAGTGCATGCAGCAGTACAGTTTGTGGAAGAAATTGGATTGACAGGTATATTGCTTCATTAAACAGTGATGAAAAACAAAAGATTCAAGAAAATAATGGAGTGAAGATGTTTAAATTTGGATTTGGAAAGGAAGAGTTAATTAAAACAGATGTTGTATCTTCAGATATACCTTTGCTATTATCAAGAAGTTCCATGAAATCTGCTGGAGTGAAATTGGACTTAGTGAATGACACTGCTAATATATTTGGTAAAGATATTTTATTAAATCTGACAGCTTCTGGACACTATTATGTACCAATGGACAGAACAGTGACAATATCACCCACCAATGAAAAGATTAATCCTACTGTTAAAGGATGCCGGAATTTGGAGAGATGAGTATACCGATATACATGTATTACAAGATATGCATTTCAACTGACAGCTGTGTAAATTTTATTCAACCACACCACCCCGTCCATCAGTGGGAATTCCAATGGCCAAAGAATTCAATGAAAAAGTTGTGATGGATCTCAAACAATGGAAAGGCCAATGAATTCTACATATGATAGATATGTGGTCAAGGTATACCATCTCCGTTATTATCGAGAGAAAGCGACCATCTGATGTAATAGAAGCTATGATGAAACATTGGGTGGGTGTATATGGAGTTATGGGAGGAATTATGACTTACAATGGTGGAGAATTTAGTTCTGATGAATTAAGAGAGGTAGTATCAATACTTAACATCTGAGTCAACACTACTGCAAGAGAAAGCCCATTTCAAAATGTATTATGTGAGCGAGTCCATGCTATCACAGATACAATGTTGACTAGATTAGCATCTGAACATGAAGATATAGAGAATCAAACATTGCTTAGCTGGGCAAACATGGCATGAAACTCCTTTCAGATGAAAAATGGATATAGCAGCCATCAGCTAATGTTTGGACAAAACCCTAAAGTACCAGCATTGCATGGGACCACAAGTACCGAAACATTTACAAAGCATTTAAATGCTTTACATGCGTCAAGACAAGCCTATATAGAATCTGAGTCAAGCGAACGAATTTGGAGAGAACTAAGAACAAAAATCAGAGCATCGGAACAATTATTCCAACCAGGTGAAATAGAGTATATTATAAGAGAGAAAGAAGAGAAAGATGGCTTGGACCAAGAAAAGTAATATTCCAGGATGGGAAAGTGATATTTGCTAGGCATGGTGGAGTATTTGTTGAGTATTGCCAAACAGACTACTAAAAGCTGAAGACATTACCTGTACAGACATTCAGGAAGAACAGAAGGATGATCAGTCTAGAGTCACAGAAACATCAAAAGAATTCAAACCAATAACAGAAAATTTGCCTTCTATCGACATAGACACTTTTCATGATTTACCTCCAGTCACAGATAAACATGTTGATCAAACAGCTAGGGTTAATGACAAAATACAGTATAAAGATGGTAATCAGTGAATTAAAGTTAAAGTTCTGGGGCGTGCTGGCAAAGCAATAGGAAAGTACAGCACCTGGTATAATATTGAACATGAATCAAGGCCTGACATGGCATTTGAGAAGATAACCATGAGCACAAAACTACAACGTGCAACCATTGAGAACCTTACCAGAGCAATCAAGCAGATAAATAGACTTAAAGACATTAACTCTATAATCAGATTTCCACAACTCACATTCAACAAATCTGAATTAAAATTAATCTTATATACGGACGCATATCTGAGAAATATAAACAATAGTACAGGAAGCATACGTGCACATATTCTGTGCTTAGTGGACTGTGACAAAACCTGCTGTCCAATATTGTGGCATGCTGGAAAAATAAAATGCGTTGTGCAATCTACTATTGCAGATGATATGCTTAGCCTCCAAGGAGGACTTGAATCCTGTTTTTACTATAGAAAAATTATAACAGACTTGCTAGGATTTCAAGAATGTGATATTATTATTAGGGCTTATGTTGATAATAAGAGTGTCATTGAGGCAATTTTCTCTACAAAACAAGTTGATAATAAACGCTTAAGAATCGATGTTGCTGCGATAAGCAAATCGTTTGAAAATCACAATGTTAAGAACATTCTGTGGTGCAAAGGTAAACAGCAACTGACGAACAGTATGACAAAACAAGAAGCATCAAGATACAGTCTTCTCAGTGTATTACACTATGGACAAATGTGAAATTAATTGACAACCTAATTGAAGACATTATTATTACAAGATGTTATTAAAAAGAAACAAAACAAAATACAGCAAAAAGAATAAAAGAAAATAAAATTAATGTTAATGATTTATTTTAATACTAATAGGCAACTATTATTTTATAAACTCTCTAGAATTGAGATTAGTTATGGCAGAATAAAGTTATGGTTGAATGTATTCTGTGCCAGCTTGAGTGTTAGGCAGCTTTAACAAGGATATCCACTGAAATCCATGGGCTACAATTAATTGTGAAATGATATCAATGACTATTCTTTTTATTTCTACTTCTACCACATTATTTTTACCAAATGTTTGTCTTCTTTGGAAATCTCTGCCAGGTCTTGATACATCAAATACTCGGATAGTTTTATTAAAACCACAGTAAATTTTACTGCCATCAGGATTAAAAGATACACTGTGAGCTGCTACTAATTCATCCTATAAAATAACAATATAAATCACTGATGGTATAATCTCAAATAAACTTTAAATCTATCATTTTGAAGGTAAAAAAACCCCAACTATTTTTGGCCAAGGAACTTGTTGTTCTTGGGGGAGAAGATCTTCTTCACAAAAAGTCTATGGCTACTACGCCAATTAATGTATGATCGAAATGAAACTTGGCACGCTTGTTCCTTGGCCAAATGCGCATAGATTGACAGACTTCCATTTCTGATGACATCACAATTCCAAGATGGCTGTGATGATGTCATACTCAGTTCCTGGTATGGTGGTCAACAGCAGACATAAATTTGGCATCTTAGTATGAAACAAGGGTTTTCTAAATAACATGTCAACAATTCTTGGATTTATTTATTTACAAAACAAGAATGCATAATATGTAGACCTGTGTGATATTATTCTACACCAAGAAACCAAAACGATAAAGAGGAATGTAGAAAAACCTATATGAAATGAAGTAAGTTCTAATTGAGGGAATGAGGTTCTTTGACCATGTGAAATAACTATAGTTGAACACAAGAACAGTGGCTTGGTACAACAGTGTGAAGTGAGATAAGGTCACAGAAATAATACAAGGGGTAAACGTTATACAATGTATAGAAATAAATAAGAAATGCAAAAAACTTGACCAAAAATTGGTCAGTGTAGGTTTCAGTAACAAACATGATAAGAATAAATTGAGATGTGTGTAACATACTTACAGCTTGATCATATGATTTATAACTACATAGTAATTCTCCGGTAAATGCATCCCACATGTGAACAGGCATACATCTACCTGTACTGATCAGACTGAAAAATACAAGTTTATATGAATATTTAGTAAACCTTTTTGGAAATTGTTTTGGAGTGATTAGTCAGTTTGGGTTAGGTCAAAACCAAGAACTGAATTTATCTGATGTGTTTCAATACATGATGGGACAAGCTCTATACTTTTAAATTTTCAATTCAAAAGAATAAGTGAAGGTGGCGGGTTTACAAATTTTAGTTTCATCTTTCGTCTTTGGTTTAAAAGATGTAAATCTTTGATTTAGGTCAAATTAAATGATTGAATTGGGTCAATCTCATGTGTTATTTCAATTAGTGATAGGATAATATATACAATTAATTTTGGTTTCATAAGATTAAGCAGAAGTTGACTTGTTTACCAATTGTAGTTTCATATATCTAGAGACATACAATTTTTTAAAACAATTACATACTGTCACAAAACAAATCAAATCAACATTTAAATGAAGCAACAATCATATTTTTGACCCATGCAAATCAGACAAATCAGTAAATCATAATTGTTGGTTCTATATCTGCAGATCTAAAAAGTTTAAAAATAGACGGGTACCCAGTTCTCAAACAAATCAAATATAATTATATCAACACTTTTATTTCTAATCCTTAAAAGTTCTAGTGGGTGCTGACTAGTCTGTCTAGATTGAAAAGTCATCCATTTACAACACAGTAACTTACCAACACGTTGCAGGATCAGAAGAATTCATCAATGGATACCAACAGTAATCATAGATGGTCTCCCCTCCTTTCATTTTCAATATACTTGTCTGATTTAATTTAAATAAAAAAAACATTCAGTACAACACATCGAACATTACATCAAGGCATATACAGTAATTTAAATCTTAACCCAGTCAGTCCAAGTTAGCATAGCAAGTAGTGTATTATTAAAAGGAGGGTACCAAATTTGGTGACTTTGAGATATTTCACAACTGTACAATGAAAATATTGATACTATGTATATCTCCTTACTGTAAAATGGTATTAAAATACTACCTCTTCTAATAATCAGAAAATATATCACAATATATTGTTTAGGCGAATGATATTGATGTATATTAATACCCAGTATACTGATATATTGTTACAGGCCTAACAAACAATCCAGTGATCAGAAGGCTTGAAATCTGGCTAACAGCTGAATTCACTTTAAAATTTTGATGATAGTGTTGAAACACTGTGCATTCTTTTGATTAATATCCTACACTTATTGTCCGTTCGACTGCATTATCAAATAACTCACCATTTGTGGAACATTTTCCATGTTACCATAATATACCTCTGGTGGTGTGTTAAATAATCTGAGGTAATTATCATCACTATTAGTTAATATACAACTACCATCAGGTGACCTATAATAGATAATTATCATCACTATTAGTTAATATACAACATATTATCAGGTGACCTGTAATAGATAATTATCATCACTATTATTAATTAATACCTGGTGACCTGTAATAAATAATTATCATCACTAGAAAAAAGCCCAGAAAATTAAGATAATCTGTGAACAAGTAAATAACTCACCATTTACAGCCTTTTAAGAAGTTCTGTTCTTTATGTTCAAACTCGGTCCATGCTCCAGTTATCTGACCAGGGTTTTTGCTAAAATCATATTGTATCTCATAACTGAAAGTGTAAAAGTAAAAGAAACTAGAACTCCAACGGAGTACTGAAGGCTTTACCCACACTGAAAACGTCACGGTGAGCCCAAGATAGCATTCTCGACGACATTTTGAAATCTTGGTTAAGCTCGCAACCAAAGACACAATTAGAGTCGACGCCAAAAATCTAAAGTCGCAGTCGAAACCGGAATTGAAACGTATATCACTTTAATGATAAAAATTGGAAACCTTATTGTGCGTAATGTGAATTTACATCGAAATCGAAGTAGTTACCTCAAGGACGTAATTAGAGTTGATATTAGAAATCGATGTCGTAATCAAGACACACCGAAGTTATGGTCAAAACTGGAATCTTATTAGATATTAAGTCAAAATTGTAGTTCTTATAAGAGTTTAGGTTGAAACTCATAGTGTAATTAGAAATGAAATGAAATGGGTTTTAACGTCTAACTCATAACTGTTGACAACTTTCATGAGGAAAAATCTATCGCTTCTTACACGCATAATGGCAAAAGAAAAGAAAAAATAGTTTTGCAATAGGGTCGAAAAAGCAGTATTAATTTTCCATTGTCTTTAGCACTCAACATCAATTTTTCTTTTCTATGTATTTTGTTTATAAATAGCTGCAGTGGAGCGCATTTTATTCATTGGGTTAAAGTGATGACGTCATGTAGAGAAAAATCCTGGGACATTACTTACTAAAATGACATATTTTCACTCTAGAATCACTGACCCCATATTTTGGTTAACAGTAAAACACTCTTAGTTCAACAATTGTCACCTTGAAAAAAAAAAGCTCTCTATATAAGTATGATTTATCACACTCTTACCGAACGTTTCACTTAACAAACAAATACACAGTTTTCTATTCTCGGTCCCCTTTTCTCCTACACATAAACAAGAATACTGATTAAAGACTCTACAGACTTCTTACAGTTTCTGAGTTCTACGCGAAATGGAAAAAGAACAGTTTCATGAATTGGCCGAAAAGCAATGTCGTGGTCCACACTGAAGTTATGGTAAAAACTGGAATCGCAATAGATGTTATCAAAGTAAAAATTGTAGTTGTAATATAGAGTTTAGGTTGAAACTCAAGGTGTAATTAGAAACAAAATGAAATGGGGTTTAACGTCTAACTGTTCTGCTCGGAGTGGGCCAGGAGGAAAGTTTTGCCCGTACAGCGGTGCTAGTCTACTCTTATATAGAATTCCAACTGCCAAGGGATCTTTTACGGTCATACCAATGTGTACACGGGACTTCGGAATCGCGTTCATGTCAGCTACTCAAAGTCAAATATGTAACTGGTTCAAAAATTGATTGAATATTGAATGAATATGCGCCAATTTTCTGGTTTCGTGCATGTGAAAGGTTTGACGTCACTAACATGTAAAAACTTAATAATTACACATAAAGTCCATGCTTAAACATCATCCAGTTTTCAGTCACAAGTACAATATTCCCTATTACTGCAAATTGGACTTGCTTATAAACAGCGTCAGCCGTCGATTCAGTCTAGATGATTACGGCTATGAGATAATTTTGACAAAGAAGCAACCATATTAATTTAAAGGCTAAATATTACACAAAGAAATCAACTATTTCTGTTATAGGGTCAATATACTCATAGTTGCAATAATTTTAGTTCAAATATTGTCAATGTGAAAGAAAAGACACTCTTGAATATGCTCTATATACGTTGACAAAACGTACAGATTGTATCCACCCTTACTGCATGTTTCGCTTAACAATGAAAGGTGCCGTTTTCAATTTTCGATCCCTTTGTTCTCGTACTCCTGATATTTGGGACTGTTGTACAATGATTTTATACATAAGACTACCGATAAGACTCTCTGTAGAAGAAGTTTCCAAAAAATATTATGTTGACTTTTCTAGAAAAAGACCTCTAAAAATGTTCTAAATCGTAAAAATATGAAGTTTTCGATTTTCGATTTCTTTTTTCTGCTACATCTGACATTTCAAAAGATAGGCTGCCAGGCAACAAAACATACAACCACAGCAGCTAAATCGTCCGGGCAGTCAACAAGAGTTATCACATATTTTTACTTTTTTCGGTAATAAAACATTTATAATACACTAAAATCTGATTAAGAATAACAACTCATTTTAAAAGTAATTATCAGAAAATCATTAGAATTTGTCTGCTTTTTATAAAGTTCTGTCCCATGCTAACGTTTAGTATACGAAACATTTAATATCATGGATTTAGCTGTTCAAGTAATCAAAATTCATTGAAAATCATTATACTTGTTCATCTCAAGACCTTAGACTCTGTGTATCAATCTGAAGTCAATCGGATGATAACTTTAGCCTATAGAGCGTCACAAGATTTTTCAAAGTGATCAAGGGTCATAACTTTGGCAGTAATTATCGGAAATCTTTAGGATTCTTCGTCTCAAGACCTCAAACACTGTGTATAAATTTAAAGTCAATCGGATATTAACTTTAGCCTCTAGAGCATCCACAAGAGTTTTTGAAGTGATCAAGGGTCATAACTTTGGCAGTAATTATCGGAAATCTTTAGGATTCTTCGTCTCAAGACCTCAAACACTGTGTATAAATTTAAAGTCAATCAAAATCAAATCAGATTTTCACAACAAAACTTATATCGTTGGAATCCAAAAATGTAATCAGAATTGAAAAATTCCTAGAAATAAACAATTTAGAAAATTGTAAATATGAGAAAAATTGGTTGGGAATTAGCAGAATTATGGCCGATTTTCAATTTGCGTGCACGTTAAAGATCTGCTATGCGCACAAATTTCATTTTACATTTAAACACTAGCCACACCCATTTTCCCAAGAGAAAACCAAACTGCAGACCTCTATCTCTTTATAGTTGCTGAGAAATAAGATCCCTCCCAAAAAAATAAATAATAATAATAATATTAATCTTAGTAATAACAATAGTCTTTCACCGAAGGTGAAAGCCTAATAAGTTGGCCCACCTTTGGTGAGATTCATCTGCTTCAGTGCTCTCTTCATTTGCTGGTATACTTTCTTCATTTACTGGTATATTTTCATCTGCCATAGCTGTCTCTAACTCTTCACATCTATTTAAAGCCTCCAGTTTCTGATTTTCTAACAATCTTTCACTTTCTAACTGCTCGCCTGTTTCTATTCTCTGCCTTTTACAAGAATGAACACCCTCTTCGTCTTCAGCAACCTTATGTTTGGTTTTCGGTAGAAATTTATTTTCACTTAATTCAGTTGTTTCTTCACTTAAATTGGTGTTTGTATTATCAGTAATATTTTGATGTACATTTTCACTAATTACAGTTGCTGGAATCACAGGTTCAACAATTGATTCAGAAAGTTCACTTTTATTTTCACTATTAGAACTGAATAATTCCTTGGATTTTTTAAAAGATTTGTCACTGATAGTCAAATCAACATGAGCAGAACTACATGATGTCTTTTCAGCATTTTGTTCCTGATTGTCAGTTTCACTTTTATTTGAATGTATTGTGGTAATGTCCTGGGATGCCTTTCTGGAATCTTTCTGTTTTAAACTTTGTTCATTTTCACAGCTTATCAAATGTGTCTGGCTGTTTTCGGGTTGCATATTGTCTAAACAATCGTCAATATTTCTAAAGAGGTGCTGAGTGTTTATGTAAGATATATCTTGATTGGTCTGATGACCATCCCCATCTATCTCTTTATTAGATTCCATGTTTTCTTGAGTATCCATATTGGATGATCACCTAAAGAACAAAATAAAGGTTTTTTCTTCAATTTCTCTTGCTTTTATTGTATAAAATAGCTCCATGACCAGTGAAAGAATTTAATGCCCAACTTATGACCCAAATCCATCCCAATTCCCATTGGTTATGCTGAACTAATTATAAGTCTATCGCATTTGTTTCATTAAAGTAACAAAAGTCGTTAATTGTAATACTTTGTCAGAAGTCTTAAACATTTTCTTAACAATCAAAATATGTCATGGCAAATAATGTCAAAAGAATACATTTGTTCATTATTATTTCACTGCAATTGATCAATAACATGGACCTTGCCAATCAGTCCATTACCATAAATAATAGCTGGTGGTACAGGCATTCGTGGAATTATCCGAAAGCTTTTAAAAAATCCTCCAATAAAAGTTATTAAAAAATTTAAAATTTTTGACTTTTCTGTGCAGATCTATTATTGGTACCTACATGTAGTGCTCTCCTATTTTAATTACTTTATTTAAAAGATTTCAACTTCTGAACTTCATGTGACAAGGGTCAAGGAGGCAATGCGCATATTCTTATCCGCCAATTATCCCGTCATTAAATGTTTCATCTGTTCTGTACATATAATTAAATATTTCACTAATCCATTCAAATTTTCGCTAATACATGATCATCTTGGAAATATTTTATTGTGTATGTATATACTATATAACATGTAATTGTCTGCGATATCACTTAGGTTGAAACGGACATTAAATAAAACTATTTCACACACTGATAATCCGCCTAATCCTACGTGGTATTTACCATGGATCACTGCGTTAGTTTTATTCGTTTAATGAATTTTGTGACCGTCAGTTTCCTGGTATAAGTACGAACAAGGTTATGCGAAAAGAAAAGTATGATTGCATATAGTTGATTACCTTAAAGGAAGAAGATTCTATTTTTTTATTGCAAGCATGCCACTGCCCGAAACAACCATAATTAATATGGGTATTATATTTATGTGAAGTTGCAAACAAAAGTATATTTTAGTGGGAACTGACCAATTTTTGGTTGCATCACAGCCCGGCAGCTCTTTGAAAAAATTGGGCCCACAGTTTACTGGAACAAGTACGAGCAAGGCGATACTGAAAGAAAAACCGACCAATTTTTTGTTGCGTCACAGCCCGACAGCTCTTTGAAAACATTGGGCCCACAGTTTACTTGTACAAGAACGAGCAAGGCGATACCGGAAAGAAAAGCATGATCACACTGCTGATTACCTTTAAGGACTTAAGCAGTAACGAGAATCCAGAGAGAGGGTGAGAAATGGGGTTTAACTCGACGCCGATTAGGTCATTTCATACTAACATATGGTTTAATTTTATTTCAATAATTCGCTAGTGCGTAGGGGTCTTTCTTTTACTTTAGCAGTGGGAGGAAACCGGAGAAAACCCACAAGGTTGGACAGGCAACCCTACTCCTTGTCACATACAACCGAGGATTCGAAACCACGCCAGTTGACTCAATGTCAGGCCTTGTGATACAGCGCGCACTTGCTAACCATTCGGCCATCAAACCCCCCTGCGAGAATTCAGAAACACGTACATAATACATTGCACTTTGTAAAATATTTAAAAATCTATCAACTGTTTGTCGTAAATGTATTTATCACAACTATACAAAAATAACACTGAAGTTTACGGTGATTACAGGAAATATTTTTAGAACATTCAGTCACGTGATCAGTTGACGTATTGCGAAGATTATCTTATTCTTAAGTCGTTTTTGTGAACCGATTAGATTAGACCGATTAGCTATTATACGCATTTGTGAACCAAGTTGATTATGCTAATCGTTACATTTGTGAGACGATTTAACTCAACTGATTAGGCAAATCGACCTAATCCTCCCAGGAGGTGTTTAGGCGATTAGATTTGATGTTTTTAAAATGGCGGAATGTTCGATGTCGTAAGTAATTTTTAATGCTTATTGTTGTTTTTCTCCATAAAAAATGTTTTTTTAAAACGCATTTGTCATGTTTAATGTTAACTTTATAATCCACAAGAATGTTAGATCACCTCTAAGCAATTTTAGGTCCTCTGGGTGGCCTAATTTTAGTAAAATGTTAAGTCACTCCCGTTAGGCCTAACAGTAACACTGCCAGCAGTGTTACTGTAGGTAGTCTACTGCCTAGTCGTTAACTTGGACTACACTTGAAACACACGCCCCCCTCGTCATGTTTTGACATATCGATCAATATCTGTAACCAGTCGCTCTCTCTGAGTAAGTGTTATCACGTGGTTGTCACTGTTGCGTAAGGTCTAGCCTATCTGTCCTTCTGTTCTGTGATACTCACATTGAGTGATAGAAAAAAAAACATGTATGTACTGATAGATCCTAGGTTTTCTCAGGACACTTTTTACATGTTTTGTCACTTCAGTTTTCAAAAAAATACTTGAACTTGTTGGACATAGATTATTTCTAACGGCAACCATTTTTACTTTTTTGCGTAGATAACCTTCATGTCTTTAACAAGTCATCAATAATAAGCAGAGACAATTTTTTTTTCTGATCGGTGTCCGTGATGGCAGCCATCTTACCAAATCGTAATTATCAAATTTCACATTTGTGGACCATAGCTAATCAAATCGAAATCATACCAAATCGTACTAGCAAATCAAAACCTAATCTAATCGACTCACAAAAACGCCATTAGTTTAGCGTACACGCTAATTTACTTATATTATGCAGTCCTTGAAAATTATTTGAAAAATCATTACAGCGATAGAGGACAGATCCTACATGCCATGGGGGCGTCAACATCCTACTTTGAACCTTAAAAACATTCAGGAGTAATCAGCTTTTGCAAATCAACAACGTCATTGGAAATAATTCAAAATATTACACACAAATTTGAAAAAATATAAACTTGTTTACAAAAATAAAGTCTTCACTCCAGAATGACTTCCCCTTATGGGTAAATGCCATATTCTGACTTACAGATATATTTTCCGAAATACAATTGAATTGGTTTGAAATATTTTCTAATTGTTATTGAGTTAAAATTTAATCATTATTTAATAGAATTTTAAATTTTCTTAAGATATTCAAAGACTTTCATTAGAAAATATGTTGGGAATATAACATTTTATTTCGTATGGCGTATTGTTTAGGTTTTCAATTTTATAATTAAAATGGCAGCCTCCAGTGAGAACGTGCTCTCAGCACTATTACCGTTATATTTTGGAGATGACAGCTCATTATCTCACGTTCCCCATGTTATATCCAACGTGGATGATCATCAGCTGTTTGCGATTCCGGTATTTCAAAAGTTACACCGAAATGTTCGGTTTTTATATTGTATTTGCAAAGCTATGTTTCACATTTAAAGTAGCTAAGTCTCTAACCACAATATCATCCAAAATCTTCAACATTGAAAATACGATTTATTTGTCAAATTAAATCAACATTCATGTTGTGATCTTACCGGAAAAAAGATGGGCTTTTGATATCCAATATTTAAGACAAAATAAACATTTTAGCATTGGTACACGAATCGTGTACCATAATGCGCTTCAGCCCCAGTTGTAATATGTAACAGGCATTGCCTGAGTAGAGCGAAGCTGATTCACTCCGTGGCTGATTATTGTCAAATATAAAACCTTCATAATTAATTTTCTCAAGTGATACAAAAAAATGTTAAATAATTTAGTTTTTCAAAATTGATTTTTATTTAGATCTAAATTTTATACATTAATTTTATTTTTAAAAAAAGAAAAACAAAAAAGTGTGAGAATTATTTTCATTGACGTAAAAAATATGTGACGTCATTGATTAGACGCGTCATAGAAATAGTTCTATGAGGCGCGTAATCTCGCTTGGACGAGATTTGGAGGGTAGAATTATTTTTGTTAGTTACGTGAGGTAAGCGTTTTTTTCCATCCACTGGAGCCAGGTGTTATGACGTCATATGTGGGCCATTCCTAACCTTTATCCTAACCCATAATCCACATATGACGTCATAACACCTGGCTCCAGTGGATGGAAAAAAACGCTTACCGTTACGTGATCTCGCTTGGGCGAGATTTGATAAGTTGACATGCGCATTGCCTGTTTTGCCCAGTGTATCCGGTTCCGGTCTGAATTTTTTTTTAATCAACAGTCTGTGGGTGACATTTTCAATTACGCTCCTGTGTTACCGGAAAAGAGCTTTGCTTCGCTCTATATCAAGAGACTCGAGGAACGAGGCTAGACACATTGCACCAAATCAAACAACGTATGTAGACTCGAATAACCAGACGCTAGAAATTTGCACTCGCTTGAGACTGCTGGCTTATTTCGCCGAACATAACTGTTTTGAAATTGGAGTAAAAACGGAAACCATTGAATGTAAATTAGTTTATATACATTCATATTACAGTATTATATGTGTTGCAACCCACTTTTGTCAATTTCTAGGTCCCAACCGTTAGCGATTTAGCTCCTTTAAAACCATCTTCTTGTTTCACTCTTTAGGCCTTTACAGGTACACCATGCCCATGGCATAAAAAGAATATCTCGAAATATATGGATTGTTATGTATTCAGGGCTGCCGACAACCAGTATCGCAGCGCAATTTGCGATACATATTTTGTCCGTTGCTAACCAAAAATTAAAATCTAACGTTTTTGATTCGCAGTTACTGCGAATCATTAATATGCCAGTCATTTTGGATATTGACTCAAGAATAATCCACATTTTGAAGACTAGAAGGCTTACTCAACACTTTCAACGTGTATAAAATGTTGAATAAAATTTTATAAACAAAACTGAATTCTCCGCGTGACATTTTCTTCTCGAACTACCCAGACACAATACTATATAACACATGGACATAACTCTATGAATAGGGACTATTTAACCGGAAATAGGGAAGCAAGTAGTACCACTCACATTGCGAGACATCAAGTAATTATATCATATTCATTTTGAAAGAAATAAATCCAGTGTATCCCCCACGCATTGTAAATAAAATATAAAAAAATAAATACATGTTAACGTATTGTAAAATGATAAATCAAAGTAAAAATTCCCGTAAAATATTATTGTTTATATCGCGTGGGTCTATATCGAGGTGCGCCCGATTGAACAAAAATAGTAATACTACTAATACACGATAAAAAGCAGACAAATTGTTTTCTAACGAAGATTTCTAACGTGACAAAAAATAACAATAAAAATGAGTGGGGCTTCGGAAGTCACTGTCAAGTGCTAAAAAATCTAAGAATTTAAAGAATAGTCAGAATGGAATCTAGTCATATTTGTTATGAATTAAAGTAATATCTTGTTATTTAGGTGTTTTACGTTGAAACTGAAAAACTGCTAATCAATTTATAAATTTGCTAATCAAATTTGGCAAAATTGGACTTTTTGATTAGCAGTGCTGCTAATCAACTGTGAAAAATTACCGACAGCCCTGTATGTATTACAATATATATATATATATGTGACAAGTCTAACCATAGGTTTCTCTGTTTATCATCACTAGACAAACGACAATGTTGTATTTACAACCATACCATTACCATATGATTTACAAAATTGGGCGCTCATGCACTTTCGTACACCTAGTATTTGCCGTGTACCCAGAGACTTCAAATTTGCTGAAGGTGTTCCAGGTTGTTAACTATGATCTCACACCAAATTTCAGACCAATCCGTCAAAAACTATTGATTTTACACAACTTTTACTTATCCATTATTCAGCCGACATAGCTAAACTGGCACTATTGCACTTTCGCACCTCTACCAGTTCCTGTGGTTGTAGAGACTTGAAATTTTTTAGGGAATGTTAAGGGGGACTAGCAATGACCCCACACCAAATTTCAGCAGAATTGATCGAATAACAAGACACTAAGGCGGATTCCGACACACTGCTCTTCCTTCCTAATGCTAAAGTTCATAATAATAATAATAATTTTCGCATATTTTAATTTTTGCACCAAAGCACCAGTTTCTATAAACAACTATTTGGCGTTGGCTAGTTGGATTGGCCTCTAAGTGTGAATATCGCTGACCCTGACATCAAATTTTACATCGATCTGGGTGGCCTTTGCATTTATGCTTGCCATGGCCCTATATCTTGCTGTATTATCAAGGTCAATGTTCAAGGTGAAAGCAGAGACGACGCCCTTCAGAAAAGATTGCTGGGTCAAAGTCGTGGGCCAAGGTCAGGTTACAGAAAACTGAACTCAAACTTTTTAAAGTCAGTTTTGGGAAATTTGACCTTGACTTACGACCTCCACCCCTTAACCATTTTAAAAGGCCATCATCTTGGCTTGGACCATTGACATTTACCTTGGTCCTGTCACACACTGCTTGGTCAGAAAACGGAAGTTTATGGGCGTGGTCAATATGAAAGGTTGTGGTGACCTCCAGTAATCAACGCTAACCAACCGTGACCTCAACTTTGACCTTGACTCCAAACTTCCAGAACCCCATTTCATTTCATTTCATTTCCTATCAATCTTGGGGCCTTTGCATTTATGCTTGCCATGGTCCTATATCTTGCTGTATTATGAAGGTCGGTGTTCGAGGTGAAGGCAGAGACGACGCCCTTCAGAAAAGATAACTGGGTCAAAGTCGTGGGCCATGGTCATGTTACAGAAAACTGAACTCAAACTTTTTAAAGTCAGTTTTGGGACATTTAATCTTGACTTGCGGGGAATTGTGACTATTTTGAGTCGGAGGAAAAGCGGTTATAACTTATTAAATGCAACATGAACATAGGCCTATATTTAATAATTATAAATGTGGCATAATTATCAATGTATTTGGAGATATTTTTTTAGGTAGGCCTGGAGGCATCCTGTAGTACATTGCTTTTTTCTTGTATAAATTAAATTTATATTTGACTTATTTTTCAGAAAACAAATTCTTTGCATCCTGTGATCAGCCACATTCATACGTGCCTGAACTCATCTAATAAAAGGTAACCCTACTATTTATTGACTTATTTGTGCATTTAAAGGGGCATTAGGTGAGATTAGATAACGAGCTGACAGTTCTCGCTATAATAGTTAAGAAATATATAATGAAAACAAAATATGCTGAAAATTTCAGTCAAATTGCTTCACTCTGAACCGAGATATTAGCCAATGAATTTTAGGCTAGTCTTGGTTGTCATTACTCACGTTGGTATGATAACAAATATGCATTATTTAAATTAGTGAAATATGAAGCCTATCGAATCTCAGCAATTTCCATTCATTTACAATAATTACTTCTCGGGTTATGGCCCTTGTTTCACTTTGTTCAACCTTGTTAATGCTTGATTGATGAAAGTTATCATCAGATATGTATGAAATTTATATGCATCATTTAAATTTGTGAAACGGAGGTCGATTGAATTTCAGCAATTTCCGTCAATTATTTCTAGAGTTATGGCCCTTGTTTTACTTTGTGAACCTTGTGAATGTTTGAATGACAAAGTTATCAACCAATTTGTATGAAATTTTCTGTAAATTACTTCCGGAGTTAAGTCCCTTGTTTCAGGGTGTAGAACCTAATGAACCCTCAAACGACAAAAATTATATTCTGATCTATATGAAATTTTATTGTAAATGCCCCCAATTACCTACAAAAGAATAAATATGCAACAATCCTTGTCGACCGCACGGATGATTTAGCTGCTGTGGGCGTATGTTTCGTTGCCTGGCAACCTATCTTTTTGTTATTTCTTGGATTATATTTGAGTTATTTGCTTTATTTTAGATTAGAAGGGTTATTATTACTAGAGAAACTGGTTGTACAATCTTCAACTTTAATATTTACTGATTATGTTAATACATGGATTAAACTTTTGTTACAAATTTTAAAGGTAAGTTGAAAGATATGTCAATAAACATTGTAGTCTTGATTGCTCCAGCCCAAATTTTCTCCACGTCGACAGTCAGAACAAAATAGCACTTAATACAAGGTCATATGGAGATTCTTTTATGTCTTAGGATCTTCAGTGCACGAACTGTATCTGTATACAGCCAGACATCCATTAATTTTAAGGCTGGACAATTAAGGCTATGGCTATGATCCTTGACCATTTTTCGAATGATGTATAATTTTAATTTACGTGGTTCGGTTCCTAGTGTGGCAGGGTAGAGTGGCGTAGCATAAAAATGAGATCAGAAAAATTCTTTATACACCTTGTTTTACTGATACAGCTTCTTCTCCTGAATTAATTAATACGTCTCCCCCATTAACAGGCATTGTCTTTAAGCAGAATATCTGTTTAGTCACAGGTTTGAATAGATGAATACGGGGTAATGACAGTGCCCAGGCAGTGACAGCCATAACTAAGAATCCCAGGACTAGAAAAGGAGAAGTGTAATCTTTTGGGTCTGTCTGTCTGATTTTGTGGTAACATAAATCACTGACACTCATTAAATATCAATATAGTTATTGCAGTTTAAAGTACCTACTAGTGTGTTTTATATTTTAGGGTCCAGGGGAGACAGTGTTTCACCAACAGTCATGTAAAATTATTTCTCTCATATTGAAAATATCTACAGATTTCAGTGAAATATCTCGAGATGTGGCTACAAATATCATACCCCAACTTTTACCAGTTTTACTCAATGCCCAAGATTTTGTAAGTTGATTTATTGTAATTCTATATCTGGACCCATTCAGGATTTTGATTTAGATACACAGGGTCCCTACTATACATGTAGCATGTTTTTCTGAAGGCAGGTTTCACTAAAATGTCCCAATAACCAAATTGCAAAGTTGCTGTGTAGATTGTCTAAGGATCCTGCTTTAACAAAATGCGCATGGTAGACTGCAACATCAGTGTTGTAATGAAGACCACAAAGTACAGTAGAATCTGTATTAAGCAGCCACGCACGGAAATTTTCATGACTGACAGTAGAATCTGTATAAAGCAACCACTCACAGAAATTTTCATGACTGACCACTTAATGCATTTTGAGCAAACATCAATACTTGCATGGGCAAATTTGGCCGTCACTGAAACTTGCTTTGAACGAAAATTCTTTGATGCAAATCTCTGATATAAACGTGTCATTTTGTACCATCGTTGATACTACTGTCTACCATCATGATGTATTCTATAATATTTATCCATTTTTGTAAAGAAAATCCTTGAATATCAAAAAAGCACATATCCCCAAAAAAAACCATCGCTAAAGTTTTCACCGTTATTCAGGGGGGGTAACTCTGAATGTAATATAGGAGGCACTAAAACTTCTGTTAAGCAACAAAGTGGCAATGGAAAATAGATACTAGATGATCGTGACAAAACTTGGTTTTGTCGGTACTTGTAGTTTATTCAAGCAGTATCAAATAATGTTTCTCGTTACATGTGAAAACAATGATCAGCAGTTCAGGGTTTGTCTTTAATAAAACAAAAGATTAATTAACCGATTACCCCAGGTTTATTGTTATTTTCACAGTTCTTTTTACCTGAACGGTAGGAGCCAGATAATTAACTATTAATCACAGGATTCCCGGAGGTGCTACGAAGTACGACAAGATGGTATCATTCAACAATGCCCATTGAATGGGCGATGTTTTGTTAAATTTATAACTAAAACAGCGACCACTGACCTCGTTAGAGGAGTGACCGTTGATTAAAGAGATGAAACAATAGAATTTCTATGGGGGGAATTTATTGTGCCGCTTACGAGGTCATGTCGCTGAATAGGAGTGGCTGCTCTTACAGATTCTACTGTATATTATATTATAATAAATGAATTGTGGTGTGCTATATAGCCTACATTAGACTGTATTGTGATCTGACATGGATCACTGTTCATGATTTTTACCTTCACTATACAAGTGATCATGATTGGGTAAATTTATTGCAAATAAAATAAGAAAAAACAAAAAAGTGTTGTCAAATATTTAAAGGATGAACAAACCAAATCATTCACATTATATCTCAAAAGTCAACACGCGTACAATTTGAATGCAAGGACTGTTCTTATTTTGTAATTAAACACATCAAAGTATAAAAAAAATCTCAATACATTATTTATCTAAGGCACGTAAAGATGGCAGTCTGAAATCAGTTAAAAGTAATGTAAACTTTAAGTGGTCATGGATTGATGGATTTGAATAATTTTTGGAGCACCATTCAAAAAAAGAAATATCGTCTTAATCTCAAATTTCTATATTTAATCAATATTCTGTGACTTAGAGGTTGTCGATATTTCATTGGTGTAGTAAATCAACCTTACTATAAGCATTATTGTCATTGTGTACTTCTCTAACACATACTTAATTTGTATTTCAAACACATATTTGTATCTTCTTTTACTTTGCTACAGTAATATTTGATTGATAACAAACAAAACAACAATATTTTTTATTATATTAGTATAAAGATGAAGCTATTCACTGTATTAAAGTTTGCTGTGAAACTTTTCCAGGACCAACAGGTAGTTTCAGGGTAAGTTTTACATTTATTATTTCACATAAATGAATTACAATATCATTGAAACAAACTACCTTTGTATTAAATTTTGGCTTGTAATTACCAGTTTAAAATCATTTGTGACCAGAACTAAAACATTTCTAAGTGCAACAGGAACCATTATATCTAATTTAAATTTATACTTAGGGCTGTATGGTCATTCATAGTTTAAAATCCCTTCTTTGTATTTATATCCGTCTTCATTAGCTCAGTTCGGAGCAGAACAGTAGGATGTTAAACCCCATTTTATTTCATATGTATTTATATTTCAGAATAAAATAGAGAAATTACTACTGGCTGATCTTCAGTGTCACATACCTAAATCCGACTCGGCTCATTGTTTAGCTTTATTAGGAGGATGTGGTCCAGGTGGCAAGAATCGAGTTAAACATTCACTAGGCTGGAGAATACAATTTGATAAAATATACAATACACTTAAACATACATTATCACAATTATATGATATGGTAGAAACAGGTACGTTTACACACATTGGAAATTGGCATATCAAATACCAACTGTCAAAGGATCTTTTACATACACTACATGTATCACTCAGTTCTTGAATTTGAATGACTAGCCACATTTTTCTCATGATAAAATGTGAGATCAAGACCTGAAAAATCCTGACAGTTTTCCTCATATATGCCAATGTCCAAGCCAAATTTCTCCCCTCCCATAGAAATAAAACTTAAACTTAAGTGACCAAAGTATTGTGTTGGCAACTCGTTAAATGCTGCCTGTCCAATTCTTTTTCTCTTCTTGTGACTATTATTAATTTGTGGACAAATATTTTGCTCCCTGGCTGGAGAGAATGTGATATATTCAACCTGTCACCATCTAGTTTTCATCAATGTTTAAATTTAAATAAGCAGTTTACATTAGAATTTCTATTTAAAATTTAGAAACCAGATAGTGTGATATTTATATGATTAAGCTGATTTGTAATTGTGACCTAAATCTGACATAGTTTAATACTATAATCAATTTATCAATATTATGATCATAATCGTCAAATTGTTGGTATAAGATCTGTAGAATAAAGGATCACAGAACTAAAGTATACAATGTAGTTATTTTCGTATCAACATTGTGATTGCTATATTTTTATTTGGTTTGTTATTTTTTTTTTTTTTTTTTTTTTTATTAACTTCAGTAGCAGGCTTACAGCCCATATTACATGTGACATAAATATATAAATAACAAATAAGTTTAAATAAAATAAAATAAATATGTATTGGAGAAAAAAAAAAAAGAGGAAATGGATATAAAATGTTAACACATTATTCAAATTTTTCACCTAAATAGTCATCTCTTATTTCCATAGCTCTATATATATACCTTGCTAAGCCGTCATTTGTCATAAGTTTTATATAGTAATCTATAGAACTAATTCTAAGGTTATCCTTACCAAGAAGTTTATCTCTTACTGTTTTATATAATAATAATAATAGTGTGTATTTATAATGCGCACATTTATAATGGACATTCTAGTAGAAAATGAATTTCATCCTCAACGATTATAATTTGATTAATATTGAAACAATATTCACACCTTCTCTCATCTCTAACTTTGTTATTTATTTATTACAGACGAATCATCAAGTAGTAATGATATTAATGGAGAAATGTTTCAACTGAATATAATACCTGATAATACAATAGATAGACGTGATGTATTAATACATAGATTTACTGTCTTTAGTCAGGTTTTATCTTCATTATTTACGTAAGTTTAAAGGTTCATGCTAACAAATAAATATGCTGGTGAACTGAGTATGCCAGAGCATACTGCAGGAATTAGAATATCGGAGCAAGCTGGGAAACTTAGTTTCGGGTTCATAATATCTTTAAATGTGATATAAGAATTTTTTGCCCCCCCGCCCTTCTTCCCGGTCACATTTATTAGAACACAATAACTCTGCTTTTAATCTGTTTTCAATGGTGATTTTGATTTATATTTCATGAAATGTGTTATCTATTATAGGGAGAGTTTTACAGCTGTAGCTGAAATTCCAGTAGAGAATATTCTTAGACTAGTTTGTGATTGTTTAGCTGTTAACGGAAAAATGTTGGTAAGTAAATAAAACAACTAGGAAGAAAGTTTCAGGAAAGGATATATCAACAAGTCTTAAATAAATAAAACATAGCTTAAAGTTTAAAAATAATCAAACATTTTTGATTTATAAGTTAATGTGACGAATTACATGTACATAATCTGGGTTTCGGTACTGAAAAGTCTTAAAATTAGCATATACAATATGTGATAGTAGAAGTATCTAGGAAGAATTTGAAGGAAAAAAATGTAGAAAATTTCTATCAAAATATACACATCTGATTATTACAGGAGAAAATTGAACATGCTTATAAATACTTGTATGATTATTCCAGGAAGCTCGTCCATCTACTGATCATCTGTTATTATTAGCTTTACTACCTACAGTACATAAAACGGCTTTATCTATTTTAAATAGTTTAATCTTAATGTAAGTTTTTATATCTTTTATCATTTACCATTTTATATTACACCAAATATTACATACATGGCTGGACATTTGGTGCCTTTATCGCACTGGTTAGCAGGTTTACTTATATTTCAATTCTTAGTGAAAATGTTTTTTTTTATATTAATTTATATTTTTGTAGAAATTATTGTAAAATTTATGGGGTCACATACAGTGGCTAAGTGGGTAAGATGCTGGCTCGCTAGCCTACATTGGCCGAGAAAGTTCATTCAGATTTTCAGGCGTGGTTCCCCCTTGTCAGTGATGCAGGACGGAGGACCTGAGAAAGACAGCTGTTTAGTCGTTCGCATGGGACAAAAAACGAGACCCCGTGTACACATTGGCATGCACGTAAAAAGTCTGAGCAAAATTTCCCTCATAGCACACTGTATGGTGTATGCCATCTTCATTAGCCCAGTTCGGAGCAGAACAGTAGGACGTTAAACCCCATTTCATTTGTAAAATTTATATTAATTATGTTATATATGTGAAATTTATATTATGTTAAATATTGTAAAATTTATATTAATTATTGTGAAGTTGTGGTTTGATTTATGTAATATATATATTTTTTAGGTGTAGACAAGTTCTAATTCCTTTTACATCGACTATTAATAAACTGTTTATACAGAGTTTGGTGTGGACAAGAGTAAATACTAAATATGGTCAACAAAAACAATATTGGTAAGGTATATAGGATGTTTCAGGACCTCTCTGAATTTATTGTGTCATGTTCTTATTTGTGGAACGTAAACAGTTACTAAAAATTTAGCTCTTCCAATCACGCCAAGATATTGTCCGCTGAACTATTAATAAATTCACTGGTGCATAGTACTGAATATATGGTAGATCTTTAGAAAATCAAAACCATGAAGATGAAACAAAGATATCAGTTTAATTTGATTGAGTTCAGTTGCTTTACTAAAAAAAATTAAACATATATATATATATATATTTTTCAAAAAAAGAAACGCATAGTGACATTTTGTCGTCAGTATTTCCTCGCCTCGTCGCCATCGCTGAACCAAACTGTTCTCCAGCCTTGAACCAACTGAAATTGACCAGTACATATATATATATATATAGCCATTAGGCAGACATGTACATATATATAGCCATTAGGCAGACAAGTACATATATAGCCATTAAGCAGACAAGTACATATATATAGTCATTAGGCAGACAGGATAGGCACTGGACAGGCTAGTATTTATACTTAAAGCACAGGTGTGACTTCACATAAATTACGAGCAACTTGGCAATCGTACATTATTTATACTAGATGCAATATTAGACGCACGGGAGGTATTTCATTGAAAGGCACATGCAAGATAAGGCCACACAAAATAAATGTCTTGTTTCTCGGGCAACTGACAGCTGAAACTGTAGGGAGGGAGGGCGGTTTCTTTTTTTTTTTTACTCATTGATGGTGCAAAATAAAATTTGGCTATTGCTGAAAATTGTTGGGGCGGGAGGGCGGTCTTTCTTTATTTTTTTTTTTTTAATGAGAAAGTCATTACTTGTTTACGTTTTTGCTTTCCGTTATATTCAACTTTATTGTACATACTTAAAACATAAACCCAAAATCAAGTCTACTAAAACACTGAGACTGAACACTGACTGAAAGGAAAATAATTTTCCATATTTAATTCACATAATTGAAATTGGTTTAAAATAAAATTCCATACGACTATGTAATAGCCCTCCATAAAGACAACAATATTTTTAAAAACTAAGCCTCTTTCACCAGGTGTATCAAAAATAATAATCATGGTAAACAGTATTTAAAACTAAATCTAGTATCGCCGGTTTATTTATAATTATTTACCGAATTCCAACCAATGCACGTCACACCGTGTCATCGGTATTGGAGATTGCCGGAAATACTGTTTCTTGGGATATTCGGTGTGTTTCTCAGGATATTCGGTGTTCTATCCGGTGTTTATATTGAATGACTATTTAAATCTAACTAACAACTGGTCAGTAAAACCATCAAATCGGTAATCCAATTATTATTTTCCGGATTATCGAAACTACCGTAAATGTGCTAATAATGACCCAGATTCTAAGGTATGCATTAATATGACGACTATCGTCATCGTATTGTATTCTTAGCTATAATTAATTAACCTGTTCTACGGTTCATTATTTTATCAATAGGATTTTCCAAACAAGGACCGACTGAAGCCGGCAATAATGAGCCGATTACGATCGAATGATTGAAATATTGTCGCCAATGACTTTTAACACGAATCAAATTCTAGTTTATCAGGGGAGGTAATTAATATCACGTGATACAAAATGGAGGTTCTTTCGATATCAATAAAAAAGGCAAATCTGCCAAACTTCGCCATTGTTCGGATAAAAAAGACAGCATGTTCATCTGAATCAGTTTTAATACATTTGAATAGATATACATGTATGGCGGATGTAGGTACATGCGGGATATTTTTTTTACGACTTGCTTGTCGATGTGCGGGCGGGCGTTACATATTTATTTTTTTTCATCAAGACTAATAAATAGACTGCACGCGCAACCAATTGTGCGTGCGGGCGGTGCCCGAGAAACAAGTTATTTAATTTGTGTTGCCTAATGTCTGTATTTTAAATTGTTTAATCGTCTCAAGCTAAAACATTGAGTAATATATATAGCCGTTATTTATACCGGTGTCGATAACATGATTAGGGAGCAATTATATGGTATGTTGGTAAGGGTCTAATTGGTGGGAGCACTATTGGGTCAAGCGAGGCACACATATGGGAATGGAAGGTGTGGTACAAGAACAGTGAAGGATGTAGGGTCAAACCGAGGGGTGCTGTGAAGGAGGGCAGTGATGAATTTTGGGTAGTGTCATCATCCAGGTATTTGCTAGCGTCAGGACATAATGATTTGGGGGACATGTGTAATGAACAAAGAAAACTTACCCCAGAAGACAATTGTACGGAAGTATTTAAAAAGGGCTGATTCCCAAACAACAAACTACCATAATTATAATAAAATCGTGTAGAATGGACTCACGTATTTACCAAACATAACTGATTGAAAATTATAATAAAATTTCAAACATTGAATAGAATTCACTTTATATACAGTAAAATGTGCTTTTAGACACACTTTGTCTATGCTAAAGTTCCCAAGAATAGAGCTATATGCCCTTAAATCTAATATCATTTTCAAGTTGGTAGAGGTGGTAGAAACAAGCCAAGAGTGAGCTTGGTGTTCCACCGACACATATTAGTCCAGGCAAAATAGCAAAAGTGCGGGCAGTTGCTGCAATAGAAATGCCGATCACGGTTTATGGTTGGTTTAGACGTATATTATGATCAAAAAAAAGTCCCAGTCCGAAATCCCTGCCCAAATGGGTCAAATTGGCCAAAATCCCAAATGGCCACCGCTTTTGGCTTGTAAATTCCAATTTCCACCCAATTATCACAATATGATCGAGTTTGGTATCAAAATATACGTTTTCAGGGTAACTGAATCCATTTCCATACATATTTTTGTGATAAGTGTTACCACTGAGTCAATATTAGGGGTTATTCAAGATGGTGGTCAGTTTTGGCGGGAAAATTCAAATTTTACATAAAGATCAAGTTTGGTGTTAAAATATATGTTTTTGAGGTAGCTGAATCTATTTTTGTACATATTTTAGTGATTAAGTGATTCCCTGTGTCAATATAGGAGAAATTCCAATTTGGGATTTAGTTTTTCGATTAGGGATTAGAGATTAATGATATTCCTACCTTAGACCTATTACAATGACTTTCATCCCGAATCAACTAAATTTCATTTGGAGTGTCTCCCAGTTCACTGCGGTAGCGGCATAGGGGTATGTCGACTGGGGCCACTCTCGGGTCACTGCGGAAGCTGGTCGTGCTTTTTGAAGCACATGGCACAAAATGATTCAGTCAACCATTTAATAATGAACAACCCATAGTTATTGGTCAATGTTTTAAGGTTAATGAAGTGGAGGAGTCTCTATCAAGGTCTAGAGGGTCCGCGGTGCCAAAATTCATTTTTGCGGACCGTTGTCTTTTACATGGTCTGTAGGAAAGACTAGCAGACGGTCCATTACAACATATATAATCGGTGACCGCTGTTACAACAGTAAACAGTAGAATTCGCAATGCCTATTTTTTGGACAAGCCAAGACAGTTCAAATGACGACTTGACATTAATCTAGTTGTATTTAATAAATCAGCATTGAGGCTGGTGTCCTTAAATAGATGACACTTATTAATTACTTGCACATCTAACTTATTTATAAAACATCTAGTACAGGCTATTTTTTATTTTCTGGAGCTATCAAGCCAGCAAGAGTGTTATTGTTCCTTTAACCAAGTGTCAATGTATGGTATGTCATGGCATATACGTCAAATCGCTTCTATCATGTGCCACAGAACTCAAATTTTCCCCGATCCTACCCCCCCCCCTCCTAAATTGCCCTAACTTTGGTCTGCCTAGATTCGGAGGCCCTAGCACGCCCTTGGCTTATTGTTGAACTTAGTCATGACTTTACACCAAGTTTTATTCTGTCCTAAATTCTCTGCCATTGAAATTGGTATCTCCGCTCATTTTTGAGCGTAAGCCAAGAATCTTAATCGGCTCATTATTGTCGGCTTCCAATACCCGTTATCTTTCCGTCATTTTGGGAATGACGATGGGTAGTTCACTGCATATCTGACAAACAGGCGATATTGTATCCATCTGTGTCTCAACATTTGAATCATTTTCTGAAATACATTTGCCACGTGTTGGCTATCTTGGCTCAATTTTCGAGGTTGGTGATCGAAATCGGACACGCCCACGACACTGCGTCCACAGTGGGCTGAGAGTGACCCGTTTCGTCATGCCTGCTACGTTGCTTCCGTAGTGAGCAGTGGTCGACCAGAGCGTCTACATGAAATTTAGTTGATGTTTGATGAATGCCATCGTATTAGATCTGAAGCGGACTCGACCACTCGTAATCCCCAAATCTCCAATGGGATTTCCCATTATTTTGACCAAGGGGAACCAGTTAATTACCAGGATGGAACAAATGTGTCGAAAATGAGATCAGCTGCCTCCAAAACATATATTTTGGCACCAAATTTGATAATTTTGTAAAATTCGAATTTTCCCGCCAAAACTGACCGCCATCTGGAATTATTTCCCAATATTGACTCCGCGGTATAACTAATCACCAAAATGTATATGGGAATGGATCCAGCTACCTCGAAAGGATATATTTTGATACCAGACTCAATCATATTATGGTAAGTGGATAAAAACTGGCATTTTCCAGTCAAAACCGGTGGCCATTTTGGATTTTTGCCAATTTGACCCATTTGGGCACGGATTTCGGACTGGGACTTTTTTTTGGTGATAATATACGTCTAGACCGACCATAAAACGTGGTCGGCATTTCTATTGCAGCAACTGCCCGAAATGGTGCGAAATTGAGTTAAAATGCCTGGACTACAAGTTTCACCAATCTGGCTCAATTAGAATTGATTTTATTGTGTACCAAATCATCATTCAATAAAATTGTTTATCTATGCTTAGCCTTATAGCCTCAAGGTATTCGACTGAGAAACACCTACAGCAGTTTTAAACATTATAGTCCAATTTAAAACATTGTGTCTCACATAAAAGCACATACATGGCCAATTCGTTAGCCTGTGCATGCTGTATCATAAGTTCTGTCATTGAGTCACCTGGCGTGGTTGGGTCCTCCTGTTTCCTCCCACTGCTAAAGAGCCCTAGGCACAACTTAGTCCCGAAATGACCTAGTTTGTGTCAAGTTGATTTAAACCCAATCTCTCTCTTTCTCTCTCTCTTTGATGTTAGATTTATCAAAAGTGCCAAAAGTAAACTCGACTTTGTAGCCTAGATCGAACACATAAACAATGAACAGTGAGGGGTTTAACACCCAACCCTGCGTGATGACCATATCTGAACTTGAATGAAAAGGCCATTATTGGTTTTAACTAGACGTATGAAGTTATGGTGGCCCAAAAAGTGAACAGTACCGGTAGACTACTTTAGGCCTACTCAAGATACTTGGCCTGTAGATAAATTCCATCTTTGAAGTTTTATCTAGGCTAAGTGAGCCCCATTAGGCCTACCATTCTGGCAAAAATAAATCGCACATAATCCATACTCAATTATAAACATTTGATTTAGTTTATTTACTTAAAATTCTTTTGGTATTCGAAATAATAGTAATTTTACTTACCATCCGTTTTCCATACGGTAGATATGCTGCCTTTTTCCACAACCAAAAATGCAAACCAAAAGTCCCGAAAGTTCCCGGGTAGACAGAAGGTTGACATTTGCCGTTTACGTCATATACTTGAGAATGTTTCAATTAATGATCTCTCACGTCGAAACGAGAATTTTGACAGTAACAAAACGACAAAATATTATTTTCGAAATGAATTAAAACCACGAAAAAAATTTGTTGTCAAAATTAAAAGTAAGGTTTCCTGGATGAAAAAAAAATATAGACATTCATATGTTTTTAGGTTCAAAGCCTGTCTGCCTAATGCCCATAATAATAGATAAAGAAATATACTTGGGTCAAAACTTAAGAGTAAAAAATAAATTTTATTGATTTTTTTTTAAGATCCAAATACCCAAAATTACTGTGAGAGGCAACTAAAATCTATTCCAACTATAGAAATGTGATGATTTTTCACTTTTTAACTTGTAAAATCATCAGTTTAAATATTCGGCAGACCAGTTTTTGTCTGCTTAATCAAACGGTCTGCCTATAATGGCTATATATATATGTTTATGGTCTGCCTAATGCCCCCGTTATATATACACTTTGATGTTTCAGTACATTAAGAGAGTGTGTATATAAAACTATGACGACGTGGTTACAACTTCTTGGTTCCTCCAGTAATCTTGTTGCCGAGGAAACAGACCTAATTAAAGAAATAATCAGTGATGTCACACCACAGGTTGATGTAATAAAGGTAACAAAATCATATAACAGGTATTTCCTATTAATTGTGAAAATAAATCAAAAGCAGTTTTTTGAGACAAATTTTGCATAAATTTTAAAGGCAAGATAGAGCACATTTTTAGTTAAAATCACTGAAATTCAAATGAAAAGAAAAGGGGGTTTAACATCCTACTTTTCTGCAACAAGTGGGCTAAAAAAAAACACTCTGATGTAACATGCCATATTTGTTACATTGTACAATGCAAAAATTCAACAGGGTATGTTTATGTCTGCCATTTAAGTGACATTAATATTGATAATTATACTGTTATTTTAAGCTTTCAACAACTGGTATGAATACTGGTTTAGAACCTCCAAAGAAAAAGAAGAAGAAAAATGCAGGATATCAAGAAATAACACAGGGAATGAGTTCTTATAGAAAAACTAATATATTAGCTAATTCTACTCTTACTAGTAACTGTCTAAAGGGTTAGTATTAAATACAATAATATGTGGTATATTATGTGTTTTAGGAAGAGGAAATATACCCTCTCTTGTACACGACTACTGGTAAATGAAACAATAGATCACAATTTACAATTTTAATTTGGATGGAAAATGAGTTTCATCATTTTAATTCGGGTGGAATTTGAGGGGGGAGGGGAGAGAGAGATTAACACACTTTTTCGGCATATTAGAGTTACTGATACACTTTCTGTAAAGAGGTGTGAAATTACAGAAATCATATGTTTTCTGTTTTGTTTAGTATTTCAGTTGTTTGTATCAAGTTTTGGTTCTAGTCTTCAAACAAAGTCATACAAGGTAATAATTACTATACATGTACATGTATATTAAAACAGTATGGTTTTACATTATTTATATTTATACAATGTGTATATATCTTCAGTATTATTTTGTAATACAGAAAGACAATCAATGTACAAAAATGTAAATTCTGATTATTGTGATCCAAAGATTATATTGACCATTGTAGAAGCTTTATGGGTAATGATAAATTACATTGATAAAATTCTGAGAAAGTAACTGTAATGATTACATTTAAACCAGCTGCTGCCAGGCAGGATACGCCCACATTTTGCAAGAGATGGATAGAGAACAAGCTAAAAAAAAAAAGCGATTTTTCGAACAATCAAGGGCCATAATTCAGTAAGTTACGATCCGATATGCGCGAATATGGACAGGAACCAAGATCTTTGGGTTATAAAGATATATTTCAAGTTCAAAATCGGATCAAAATTGTGACTTCTAGAGGGTCCACAACCTTGATATACCATATATTTATACTATTTGCGTACAAGGGGTGGCCATTTTGTCCAGTAGTTTTGGTCCGATATACTAAAACGTTTTTTTAAATCAGATAAAAATTGTGACCTCTAGAGGGACCACAAGCTAAAAACGTTATGATCCGATATGCGCAAATATCGAAAGCAACCAAGATCTTTGGGTTATAAAGATGCATTTCAAGTTTCATCAAGATCAGATCAAAATTGTGACCTCTAGAGTGTCTACAACCTTGATATACCAGATGTTTACACTATTTGCGTAGGGGGGCGGCCATTTTGTCTGGCAGTTTTCATCTGATTTTCACAAAATTTGAACTCGACCAACACTACGGTGTAACGGTGATATAATCGAACAGTTTTTTAAATCAGATAATAATTGTGACCTCTAGAGGGACCACAAGCTTAAAACGAGATTTTGAGTACAATCAGGGGACATACCTCAGAAAGTTATGATCCGATATGCGCGAATATTGAAAGCAACCAAGATCTTTGCGTTATAGACATGCATTTCTAGTCTCATCAAAATCGGGTCCACAACCTTGATATACCATACTTTTACACTGTGCACATACAAGCGGCGGCCATTTTGTAATGATTACATTTAAAGGTTAATGGTAATGGTATTTTAATTAATTACATTTGCAATGTAATAGTCCCAGCCCTGGTTTGTATAGTATTTGATGTATAATAGGATATACAAGAAGTAATATTATCTATATTATAAGATGTATCCCATCATGTTTATATTTATAGGATATACAAGAGGTAATAGTGTCTAAGTTACCAGATATACAATGTTTATATTTATAGGATATATCAAGAAGTAAAGGTGTCTATGCTATCAGATATACAATGTTTTTATTTATAGGCTATACAAGAAGTAATAGTGTCTATGTTATCAGATATACAATGTTTATATTTATAGGATATACAAGAAGTAATAGTGTCTATATTATTAGATGTACAATGTAATAGAGAAGTACCACCAGTACCATATAGTGATGATAAGTCTCGTAAAAGATTATATGCTGTATTAAAAGCTTGCGTCATATCACAACATTCTAAACTACCTTCATTATTACAATGTGCTGTTAGATTTTTTACAATTGGACAAAACGACCCCAGTGTAATGGTAAGACCGAATGGCATTTCTTTATTTTATTTTTTTATACATATGCATAATGCTGTTTGTTGCACAATCAGTATTAGGGTTTCTATGCTGATCATTTTAAGTGGTTACTACAGAATATAGGTCTCATTACACTTATTGATTTACACTAATCGACATAAACAAAATCCAAGTTTTTAGATAGCTGGAGACTTAGTAAAATTCGTGGTTAATCTCTGAAGCTTCGATTTGCAAGTATATTACATACATTATATTACATACATTACATACATATATAAGTTTTCAAAATTTGGCCAAAAAGTGGGTCTTTCTTTGATGTTTGTTTTTTTATTACTTAAACCTTAAGGTCTGCTTCCACCTTGGGTGATTTGTAGACAAATTTCTTTGATGAAAATATGATATATACTCTTCAAAAAAAGTAGGGGATATTCAGAAACCATACAAAACTGCGGAAATGCACTGCTGTTTTTATTAGAGGTAACCAGTGTATGTTAATAACAGGCCAATTGCCTACTCAAAACAGTTCATATGGGCGGCTTATCTGACGACCCCATTTCACTCGCAAAGAGATACACTGTCAAAAGTGAAAATGGACGTTTTTGATTTTTGTCTTAATAATGAGTAATTGCTCCACTAATCCTCAGACATTCAGCAATTCATCGTGGCATGCTCCTAATCAACCGTCCAATCACGATTTGGGGCAATCTGACCCACTCCTATTGCAGTGCCACGGACAATTCTTGCAGTGTTGTCGGTTGACGTCCCAATCAAATTAAAACGTAACACACTAAAGCAAAGATACGCTAAACAGTAAATCTTATGAAGAACCGATAGGAAAGCAAACATGGAAAGATAAACCAGCACGCGGCAGTTTTCATCAACTCTTCCTTGAAGTGTCAAATTTGACAACGAACCCCTCCCCCACGTGTATGGCGCTATTGCGTGTTGCATGTGCAGCTCAGTGGTTCTGTTGGGGCGATAAGTTCTTCATCTGTGAACATACTCTCAAAGCATGTCAAGTGTCCATGACTATTTATCATATCACAACCTGCATATATATGTATTTGCATTTCAATATCCCCTACTTTTTTGAAAAGTATATTATATACCCACTTTCTATTGCTGTTGAATGCCCTTAGATCATGGCATAGTAATTATTATTTACTGTGTTAATTATAAATTAACTGTGGCTTATGTCATGCTATGCATGTACATTATTTTTCCAGGTTTCATCTTTCTGTAGAGAAGCACTATCCATAAGTGAGTGTTTATTTCATCCTCGGGCTCCTTGCCTTCGTGGGCCAAATTTTGAAGTTTCTACAATACATTCAGATAAATCTATTCAAAAAGAGACACTGGTAAACCATTCATCTATTCAAAACACACCCAATAAGCCATTAGTGCCTTCTAAAACATTGACTCTCTCACGCTCAAAAGTAGAAAAGACTTCTGTCAAGCCAACTCTTAATCAGCCTCAGCAAACATTTATCCAGGATTCAAACATAGAAGCAGACTCCGATTCTGACTTAGATGAAGAACCTGAAGATAATGCATCATCGAAGCCCAAGAAACTATCCTTTGAAGATATGCAAACATTGGAGGATGTAGCAGATGGTCATATGCCGTCAGTTGAAGAATCTGAAATGCGTACAAGTCAGGAGAAGATTTCACAAGTTGAAGATGTTCATGGTTCTGTTGTGTCAGAAGATATGCCAGAAGAGAAACCAGATTCGATGTCTCTTGATGTTCAGGTATGCTAAATCAAATGTAATATTACTTACATGTATCTAATGGCTGCCAAATTTAGCTTTAAATTTATCATTCATGACTCACTGTTGTAAACTTTTAATAGGCAATAGATGAATTGCTAAATATAGACTGTTGATCGTTGCATTAATTTCAGTGGCGTTCTGAGAGAGGGCCAGAGGGAAGGATGACCCCATTTCAAGGGGGGCATCCAATCAAAGAGTGAAATTAAAATTAAGTTTTTTTAAATTATCCCTTTTAACTTTGGTGTTGAAGCTGCCCTACTTAATTTGAATTAAAAAATTTTGCATATTTAAAATATCTTCTTACTTTTCTGAATACTAGGCCCTGGGTATCACCTAATGTCTGTATGAAAATTCTCAAATACTATCTTACAAAATACATACATAGCTGTATCACAGTTTTATTTGGTTATTTTCACTTGCGATTGAATTAGTTATATTGGAGGCTCTGAATATAGATATACATGTTCATTATTTTAGAATATCTCTGATTTGTTACAATAATTGTAAGGCAATAATTGTAGACTAAGAAGTCAAGAAACGAATTGCTTAAAGGGCAGCATGAATTTAAAGTTGAAATCATTTAAATACCTATTCTCGGTCACCCAGAACCTCCTAGTCTTCAACATATGGAGGGTCTGGAAAGGTTGTCAATATTTGACGTAAAGTCCATTGCCCATGCGTAACCGGGAGTTTGGTTTTTAATGTGGTTGATTATCCAGTCTCTTTAGCCAAGTCAAGTAAGAGTTGCGCCCCGTCCCACAATAAATCCCATAATTCTTGCATTAATATAAACAAACATGAATCGTGACGACGAATTGGGATTAATTTTAAAAGCATAGATATGGCCCATGAAGAGAGAAATTTTACAATAAAAAATTAAGAGTGTTAGATATTGAACTCGCATGCAATCAAATGGATTTTTTGAAATGACATTCTTAAATTAATTTCATGGGCTTAAACATCTTGTTTTAAGAGGAGTTACCTCCCTTAGACATTGTTTATGATAATGTGAAAGACCCGATTATCTAGCCAATTTTTCTCAAATGTTGACAACCTGTCCAAACTAGGACTAATTAATTGTATTGTAATGTTTTATTTACAGACACAGAATAAAGCTGTGGAATCAATGGCAATGAGTTTCATCGATGCTGGACCAGATTCGGATTGAAAATAAATATAACTGAAAACATATTTTGTTGTTTGCCATTCAATTCTTTAAGATAACAAGCCAACAGAACAGTGAGGCTGATGTCCCCCGCCGAATTCCCAAAATAAATAGATGACACATATTAATTAATCGCACATTTATTATCAACTATTCACTAAGTTTCATCACTCTCTATCAGATAGAATCAAATTTATCTTGTCCCAAAGCATCGACCAATGAAATTTCTCAGCTCTGCTTATGTAGCTCGAAATGTTAATCATTGAACTCAGTCAAGACATTCACCTCATGAACATCTACATCAAGTTTAAACATTCTACCTTAATTAAAAGCAGAGTTGTTATGTTCCAAAGTCTTGACCAATCAAATTGCTTATTGCTCCTTAGCCTAAGCAGAAAATTCTCATCATCGAACTTAGTCAAGGTAATGATATAATGAATATATACTCAGAGTTTCATTACTCTCACTTAATTAAAACCAAAGTTATTGTGCCCCAAAGCATCAACTAATCAGATTGCTTATCTCTGCTTACTGTAAGCATACAATGTTTATCATCAAATTCCATCAAGGCATTCACCTAATGAACGCCTACACCAAGTTTGAACATTCTACCTCAATTAGGAGAGTTATTGTGTTCCAAAGTATCGACCGATCAAATTGCTTATCGCTCTGCTAACCCTGAGCAGAAAATGCTCACTATTGAACTTAGTCAAGGTATCGATGTGATAAAACTATACAACAAGTGTCATCTCTCTCACTTAATTAGAACTAATGTTATCGTGTTCCAAAGCATCAACCAATCAAATTGCTTATCTCTGCTTACCCTAAGCAGAAAATTCTCATCTTCAAACTCCATCAAGGCATTCACCTAATAAACACCTACGCCAAGTGTGAACATTCTAGCTTAATTAGAATGAGAGTTATTATGTTCCAAAGGCTCGACCAATCAAACTGCTTTTCGCTCTGCTTACCCTGAGCAGAAAATGCTCATTATCGAACTTAGTCAAGGCTAAATTAGAACTTAATTAGAACTAAAGTTATCGTGTCCCAAAGCATCAACCAATCAAATTGCTTATCTCTGCTTACTCTAAGCAGAAAATGCTCATCTTCGAATTCCATCAAGGCATTGACCTAATAAACACCTATGCCAAGTGTGAACATTCTAGCTAAATTAGAATGAGAGTTATTATGTTCGAAAGTCTCAACCAATCAAGTTGCTTATCGCTCCGCTTACCCTGAGCAGAAAATGCTTATTATCGAACTTAGTCAAGGTATTGATGTGATAAAACTATACAAAAAGTGTCCTCTCTCTCACTTAATTAGAACTAATGTTATCATGTCCAAAAGCATCAACTAATCAAATTGCTTATCTCTGCTTACCCTAAGCAATCCATCAAGGCATTGATCATGACCTAATAAACATCTAAACCAAGTTTGAACATTCTAGCTCAATTAGAAAGAGAGTTATTGTGTCCCAAAACGTGAGATGGACGGACAAACCCATTTTAATAGTCCTCTGCTTTCTTCGAAAGACGGGGGACAATAAAAGTTTACCCTGGTGTGGGCATATGCATGGTGCAAGGGTAGCTCTTATTTGTATTTGTATCCAGATTAAATGAACTCTACCAACATTGCTGTCCAATTAGCAAATTGTTTGATTTCTCCACAAGCCATGATTAAAAAAAGGGTTGGTGTTTAATGGTACGGCTTTGACTCAATTAAGGGAAGATCTATAGACTGGGACAATTAGTGGTTCATTTTATCATTTTATTCCTTGTCGAACAAACTAATATCCCAATAACCCATTTGCTCACATTAAGTGTTCATCTAATCAGATTTCCTTTTATGAAAATAAGAGAACACTACCAGGGGTTATTTACACCAGCCTTGTTATGGCTATTAAAGCAAGGATGTTTTGCTGTGCCGGGGATCTGAGGTAGAAACTATTTTTTGACAATCCGGGGAGTTGGATGGCCGAATGGTTAGCATGTGCGCGCTGTATCATAACAACTGTCATTGAGTCAACGAGCATGGTTTCGAATCCCCAGTTGTACGTGGTAATTAGTAGGGTCGCCTGTCCAACCTCATGTTTTTTTTCTGGGTCCTCCGGTTGCCTCCCACTGCTAAAGACCCCTACCCACAAGCGAATTATTGAAATAAAATTGAACCATGTGTTAGTCTCAAAATGACCTAGTTTGTGTCAAGTGGAGTTAAACCTCATTTCTCTCAATCTCTCTCTTGACAATCCATATGAACTTCAGAATTGTTAGGGAAACGATATGAATTGATTCACAAAGAAAGCTCAATAAACCCTTATTCTGGAATATTGCCCCTACCCCCAATACTGTAATTTGGGCTCATATTTACAATGTCAATATAGATCCAGAATAACCCCCGACATGAATGTAGTATAATATAAAAATAAAACATAATATCTACTGAGAACATTTATGATTTCTTTAACTATTACACAATACATAAAATAATATGTTGTTTATCATATCAAAATTGTTGTCCCAGAAATTTAAATCCACAAGATTCTCTACCAAAATTTCTTACTGAAAGTATTAAAGATACATTAGTTAAGAGTTTTATAGAATTGGCCATTCTTGCTATAATAATTCAAAAATAGATGATAAAAAAAGATAATGTTGAAAATTTCAGTCAAATTACTTTGTTATGAACGGAATTGTCACTGTTAGAAGTTTGGACTAGAAATTGATCAATTGTGTCTTCACCGTCTATGAGAATTGGCGATCGTTTGATTGACAAACGATAACTCCATCCACATATTTTTAATTATCAATTAACATGCTCAATGGCTATGGTAGCCTATCTTGGCAGGCTTTTCATCACCAGTTTCTGGTTGTGACATCAGCGAGTAACGATAAACGTTAGCTTGGTCCGCCATTTATTGATTTAATTTTAAATGGACGAGGCTGTTTAAATCCAAACTGTATCCAAGCCATCCGTGTGTCTACAGAGTTGATTTTAAGCTTGTCGTGTAAATAGAGGTCTAATTAATAACTTCTGTAACATCTGAAGCCTAAATAAAGACTTGCAATAGGCATATTTAAGGGTTGCATAATGTATGTTTAAGTTAGTTGCTATGAATATTCAACACTGTCATTAATACTTCACAAAAGTACCATTTATCTAATTCAAATTTTTTATTCTAGCCCCTGTATTATTTTAATCTTTAACAAAAACATAAATATAATTTGTCTAGTGTATCTTGAAATAATTTCACTTTCACAGCACACAATATCCCAATTAGAGAAATCCTGGTTTACTAGGGAAGTCGAAAATTATGATATAAAATGTGTTCAAAACAATTACAGTTACGACAAAGTTTGCTGGTTGCATTAACTGTTGGTAAAGCCCTCACTTTCAAAATCTTGCCGATCGGTTAACATAGTCTTATTTAATGCTGATATTTGCTGTCCACAGACAAACATTCCTGCACCAAAGTTTGCCATGGCAATGACCAAAAAAGAAGATTTGGGTGAAATTTTGCGTAATAAGGAATTAAAGTCTTTTTTCTGTGCTAATGAAGGAACCGTAAATATTTTAAGTGATCGAGCAACAATTATTGTACTGAATGTCCCCAACACTAAAGGATAAACAGTTCCAACAAAAGCCTGTATAACACCTGATTTAATTTCTTCACAAACAGGGCAGCTGAAGTCTGCAGCTAAAATTTTGTTTTTCACAAACATTTCATGAGCCACCATCATGGTGCACGTAGGAATTATCACAGTGGGTGCAAATGTATTGAATCTGCCCATGTTGCCCAAATAGAACTTCTTTCTGTAGTGAGAATTGATAGATAAGCAACCTAGAACTGCTATTCCTCCCAGAATTCCCTGACCAATTCCAAACGGCCACCTGTATAAAACAAGCATAAATAAAAAAAAAAAACATTTATAAATATTTGAAGAATAAGTCATCAAAATCCAAAATTAACGGTATTGCTTTCATATATTAAAAGATAATCCAGTAAATATAAAGTCAAATTGAATGTAATTCAAACATGTACTACCCCACAATGCACAACATGTACCGTACATACCAAGTTTTGGTCAAATCACTGCAAGAAAATCAGAAAAAAATAAACTGACAAGGGGTACATACCAAGTTTCAGTCAAATTAATATATGGAAAACTGAACTGACAATGGGTAAATTTCAAGGCCTTGACTGCACAATTAATGCTTGTCATTACTGCTAATTTGTGTTTTAATTTGTAATTTTATACTGTATAAAAGAACCCTTTTGGGTTAAAACATACAAATCTTAATCAGCTGCTTTGCAATCTGAACTTTCCAACAAATGAGAGTAAGCACACCCCCTACTCCATGCATGAAATTTGACACCAATAATTACCATATGCATCAATGTATCTAAGTCATTTGGAATGGAGCAATAGATTGGGCATAAATTCCTCAAAACAATTCACCATACCAAATTTTTATTTCAGGAAATTGCAATTCTATGCTTATTTCTTTTTGATCATTATAACAAGGCCCCTTTTTTTCACAGAATTAAAATAGACATAGCTTACATTTCATAGTGAGGAGACCAATTTGATACTCTGTCCTTGTTGTATTCTAGAATTTCATCCCGGGTCATGCGAATAGCACCTTCAGGAATAGCACTGCTCGTAGACTGGTAGGCCTTTTGTTGTATAGCCTGAGAAAAGTTGGTCATCTTGACTGTATAGCTCCTTCAAAATTGATGCTAAATTCTGAAAGTTGATATAAGATGTGTGAAAAATATAATCTAATGCTAAACAGAGAGAGAGAGAGAAATGGGGTTTAACGTCCACTCGACACAAACTATGTCATTTCGGGACTAACATATGGTTTAATTTTATTTACATAATTCGCTTGCGCGTAGGGGTCTTTAGCAGTGGGAGGAAACCGGAGGACCCGGAGAAAATCCACGAGGTTGGACAGGCGACCCTACTCCTTGCCACGTACAACCGGGGATTCGAAACCACGCCAGTCGACTCAATGACAGACTTTATGATACCGCGCGCGCACGCTAACAATTCAGCCATCCAACCCCCCAATGCTAAACAGAGTTTAAAGTCTGTGAATATCACTTGAGGGATTGCGGACAACTACTGTCAATGTTGAATCTCTACAAACAAGGTGGTGGAGTAAATTTCATGTTGAATAAAGGTCAATATCTTTTGCTTACATAACTTGTAGGCCTACTGCTGCTATTTAATATAGTGTTACCACAATATTATTTATCTTGTAAATTATCACTAAATTGACTATGAGTAACTTTAGAAATTACAACGGAAATTATATTACACCAACCGATACAAAGGAGTCAGCCTTTACGTGTCCCTTTAATTTAATGTGTGTGCGGCATTTTCTTTACTTCACCATCGGGAATAAACGAAAAGTTTACAGTTTCCAACGGGTAAACAAATCGTTAGAATCATAATTTTCAATTAGAATAAGTGCTAGAAGAGTGGAAGGGGGGGGGGGTTGTACTTTACTCGTCGCTGAATATGATGAATAAAAAAAGAATAGGCTACATCATAGAACTGTGCTAGAATATACGATCTATCTATGGCTACACATAGACAATGCTACGCAAGACTGAAGTTGATGAAGACTGACACGTTTTCTCTTTACGTTTCATCTCTTTACTTGACCACCTTTGTAAAATTGCAATGACATTTTATTTTCCTGATCAACAGCTTATCTATATAGATTAAATACGTATTAAGAACTTGACTTGATCAATTCTTTGGCAGTTAAAGTCTCAAAATCAGGGATTTTAACCTTGAACTGGGCGCTGCCATGATGGGTTAATCTAAATTTAAGAATGTGTATTCTCACGAATAGAACGAAACGAACGCTGGAAACATTGTCCTTAAAGCAGGTCTAGCTTTAGCTACAATTAAATTATTATTATTATTATTGTTCGATTTATAGCGCTTCATTACACATGAGTGTTTCTAAGCGCATTCACAACAAAAGAGTTCAAAAACATTGAAATAAGTATGTCTTTAAGTTAGTCTTAAAGCTCTGGGTGAAAGAGGACTCTCGAAGAGTTTTTGGAAGATCATTCCACATTTTAGCTGCTTTGACGGAGAAAGCATATTCACCAGAGCGCTTATTATATTTGGGGATCCTCAATATGCTACGATCACTTGAAGAACGAAGGTTGGATCGCCGGGGTGTATAGAAATCAAAGAGTTCTTTTAAATAACTGGGTGCGGTGTCAGAATAAATTGATTTAAACACATTCACAAGAGCTTTAAATTGAACCCTCGCTCGAACTGGAAGCCAATGGTGTTTCTGTAACTTAGCTGATATATGATCAAATTTTCGTGTTTTAGTTATGGGACGTGCAGCATTGTTTTGCGCTATTTGTAGCCTGTTTAAAGCTGTTTCTGGTGCTCCTAATAGAAGAGAATTTGCATAGTCCATGTGCGATGTTACTAATGCTCGAACAACACTCTGGCAAGCACCAGTATTAAGATTAGAGCGTATTCTCGAAATAGCTCTCATTTGATGATTCATTTTTCGTATGTTACTATTGATTTGGGGAACTGGGGACATAAATTAATCGGTAACATAGCCCAGATTTTTAGCCTGCTTCTTGGGAGATATAGAGCAATCACCGATCTGAATGGAACCCACTTTAATCAATTTACTGGATTGTGATTTTGATAATATGACAACAAATTCGGATTTGTCATCGTTAAGTTTTAGCCTATATCTGGTCATCGATGTATCGTTGGACTGTGTAAGGCGGGAGACATCAGTAGTGGAACCATTTCTAGTCTACTTTTAGTGACTGAACATATATATTATTTACACAAGGTATAACATGTTGAAAGTAGGCCTACACGCATTTGTCCAAACTCAAACTGTCCAATACAGATTACATGACCTCGATCTCGCGTCTAGATTTTGATTAAAATTGTTTAAATGAACATTTACGATATCACTAGGCCTACTTTTATCAGTTATAATTACCACTGACAAAATCGTAAAATTCAATTACAACTGCAAATATCCAGGTTGATCTCGGCCTCGTTTCCGTATATGTTAAGGCACGTGATATCCTACATTTGCATATCAAACTTGGTGCTCTGCGTAAGATGTTATGTAGAAAGCGTAAAGGAAAAATGAGATACGACAGAACGCTAATGTAAAATGTGATGATTGAAATGTCAAAAGTAGACACGTCAAAACAGCATTTACCAATAACACATTTGCAAGGGCGTGGATTTGTCATAACTTTTGGGGGTGACGGATGAACCCTGGAACCTACGAACAGTTTACTGTACCAGTGTTATTTCGATGAAGGCTGCAACTAGGGGTAATATGATGACAATATGGAAAAATTGACTACCTACATCAAAGCTGCATAAAAATATTAATTGTTCATGAAGTTAAGTGAATCGTCCAAAGACGTTCGTTCTACGATCAGGACTGTTCTCTTGGCGACATGCACCGCACACGCCATCAAGTGGTTCAGTCGGTTTTGCGTCATGGAGTTGCGTAGCCAAGTTTTGATATGGAGCAGAGTGCTGAAGGATCGCTCGGCTGAGCAGAAACTAGCAGGGTTCAACAGTGTGGGATGAGAAGAGCTTCGACAGAAGGGAGCATCTGCCTCACTTCAGGTGACATAATGAGGAACGCTTCGTACACAAGTGAAATAGATTTGGCCGAAAACTGGCGCTTGAAGAATGGCAATTCTTGTTCCAGTCCCGATTCGGTTCCAGATACGTAGAAACAATCTCACCATCATGTGGATATAAACCTGAAAATCTGTCCTGGCGATCAAAATCATGGTGGGGGGGGGGGGACAGAGACCTATTCGCCCCCCCCCCCCCCCAAATCCACGCCCATGCACATTTGACACTTAAAGATACATTATGATAGATTTTAAGGGAGAGTTGGCCATTCTTGCTATAACAGTTCAAAAATAGATGATGAAAGAAGAATATATTGAAAATTTCAGTCAAATTACTTTATTCTGAACAAAGTTATCACTATTGTAATTTTTGACTAGAAATGGGAGTCAATTCTCTCTTCACCGTCTCCGAGAATAGACGATCGTTTGATTGACGGGGTTAACTCCACCTACATAATCTCGATTATCAAGTAACGTTTTCAATGGCTGTGGTTTGATACGGGGTTGCAATTCAATTCGTATCACATTTATTTTTACTACAAATTAAAAATAAGACTTTTAATATATAGATAAGAATGGACCAAATCAATGAGGCATAATTATAGCCGACTTCTTGTTAGCTTGCGTGTACTCTTGTACTGTAACTGGTAGGCCTGCGTAACTCCCGAACAGTGTTCCAATGGAGCTGCAATTCAACTGGGGTAATGTTAGCTACGATGTTTATCAATTTCTATAATTTTTCTGTAAACGCAAGTGACAAAAGAGCGTAGCCTGTAATACCGACATCCAATCTCTCATTTTAACAACAACTAAACATAATATCAATGCCGTATACATGTATATCGAACTTTCAATCAAATTGACTGACACGCGGCCTCGCTCAACAGCGGTCTCGCTTCGTACAATCTATCATTTAGCCTCGATCTAAAATTATTTCCGGGAGTATGACGTCAACGTAACGGTTTATCTCCGCTTACGACGCCATTTAAAAATTTAATCAATCAACGAAGTCCTGTTTAAATCCAAGCCGAATCCAAGCCATCTGTGGGTCTACAGAGTTGATTTTGTGCTTGTTGTGTAAATAAAGATCTAATTTATAATTTCTATGACATCTGAAGCCTAAATAAAGACTTGTAATAATCAGATTTAGCTCTTGCATAATGTATGTTTAACATTTGACGTTTTACTTGTGCATTTAACTTTGGTCTTAGAGGTAATTTGATTTTATCATTACAGGTATTAACACTTTGTACATTGTACTTTTTACACGTAATCAATAGAAAAGACATTTTAGCAGAGCATTTAATATTGGCAGCGATACTCTTCCATATAACAGAGCATAATGCCTGAGGTGCAGCATGTTGTGATTGCGTATATGCTTCCTCATTTCAAACACTTATATTACTGGATCGATGATAAACAGAATTGCCATAGCTTCATTCTGTTTTTTTATAGCTCAAACACAGACGTCGTATATGAATATTCGACAAACTGTCCAGGGCAGTATATTTATTTCCACAAAAATGGCTTTACTGCGGAAGACCATTTGGGCCAACCATAACTACGAGATAATCAATTTTTTTTTCATTTGATCGACCCTAATGTTTCTATGAAACATTGATCTAAAATGGAACACTCAACATTTATTTCCCGAATAAATTATTGAAGATAGCAATTATCTTTATATTAAATTAATCACTATAATTATCAACATGGCTCCTTAAACCAAATAGGGGGGGGGGGCGAATGGTTAGGACGCGCGCGCTGTATCATACGGTCTGTCATTGAGTCAACTGGCGGGGTTTCGATTCCCCGGTTGTACGTGACAAGGAGTAGGGTTGAACCTCGTGGTTTTTCTCCGGGTCCCCCGGTTTCCTCCCACAGCTAAAGACTCCTACGCGCAAGCGAATTATGGAAATAAAATTGAATCATATGTTAGTCCCGAAATGACCTAGTTTGTGTCGAGTGGACGTTAAATCCAATTTCTCTCTCTCCTTAAATACCTTCACAGAACTACATATCTATAAACTCAACACTGAACTGTTATCCGATTCAAAGTGTAATACTCTAGCAAAAAAAAACCGGTGAAAATTGTTGAGATGCTTTCAAATTACGTGCTTTTATTTTTCAATTACTGGAGGTTTGGTCAAATTCTGAAGTTTGACCTTTCAAAGTGAGTCCTAATTTCAGCGGTATATGAATCAAAGTTAAAGGCTATATGTCACAGTGGCTCTCCACACTCTCTACTGGGGTGTTAGGAGAGTAGTGTTACCGATTCACTTTTTAAATAACTTTCAGTGTAAATTAGAAGATGGCTTTTACAAACGATTAATAACCATCCAGTCTGTCTTCACGTTTTACTTTTAATCGCCGTGCAAATATTTGGTCGTGAGACTACAATTCACGTGCCTTGCGCGAGCTGGTATATATCTGTGGTATATAAAAGGTAAAGTTAAATATTGTCTTTATATTTACCAGGAGATCATACGAACAGTCTAAAGAGCAGGTAGGTCTAACCACCATTTTGTTTACTTATCCAGGTTTTAGACTATTCCTGCAACTTCAAAGATACAATATTATATTCGGTACTTCGCTGTATGTCCCGTTTTATTTTTTTAGATTCTTCTAACGATTCGGAAAGATTTTCACGGAAGATTAAACCATAGGAAAAGCTCGGATACATATGATTCAGTGCTATGCAGATTAATTTTTGTTTTGCGTTATAAATTTTCGAAATAATAATAGGAAAAGCTCGGACACATATGATTCAATACGTTGCAGAGTAATTTTTGTTTTGCGTTATAAATTTTCGAAATAATGTTTAATTGTGTTAATGTATAAATTTGGGATTTGGCGGGATATCAGGTTTACATGCTGAGGAAATCTACACGTGAAATGTTTAGAACTGCTTTTTTTTATTAAGCATTTAAAGGGCGGTTTTGTAACAAAAGTCATGCTCAAAATTGGACGTTAGGCCCGTCGACATCCTCTACTGCATGTGTTGTAATGACGCCGAATTCCATGTAGCAGACATTGCTAGAATTAAAATAGTGACAAATGGTATTTTAATAACAACTTAAACTCTTAAACTATATGTATAATATCAGGTGTATAAAGACAAAGGTTAAAAAAAAACTTTGCATTAATTAACTGTCTGTGATTAATGGCAAAAAGGTTTTTTCAATAAGCAAAACTTAGTTTCTGAAAATAGAAAATCATGTTTTGTTTTCTTTTTGAAAAGTCGATGATTGATGGGCACATTATTATCCAACAAATAGACCATATTTGTTTTACATTGGCCAGTAAAACGTCGGTTCTTTGTCATTCGTGTGTGATATGGTCTAACTTGCCCTAAACTTAGAACAAATAGCCACTCAGGAGTTCAGTTTGGACTAGTAGCAGCTTACAAGGTGAATTTCGGAACAATCTATCCTTCTATTTCCTTTTTGAATATTCTTCTAACATTTATTTTCAAACCCTACGTTTTGGCGGACCGCAGGTAGGGTGTTTGGGGGTATAATGGCACCGGCATTATAAACTGATAATGGATAATTTTTTCAATGAATTGTGGTGGACACTTGAGTTAGTATTTCTGGAACTTTTCAGCCACACGATACATCAATAATTACAAGTTATTACGTAATCAGTCGTATGTAAATTATACTGTAGCTTTGTTTTGTTTCAGATTTTAACAATGGCATTATTTTGGGCCATTTCTATTGGATTATGGATAGCGGTTTTAACTGCCCCAAGCCCTTTCATGAGAAATAAACGACAAGGTAAGTTACATTATTATCAATGAATCCAGGGTAACATGCGAGTATAATTTTCTATCAAGTTCGAACAACTAACGTAGTATTTTGAAACAGTTGAAAGTCCGGCTGACCATGACTAGCTCCGGCTTCTAACTTCTGGTCCAAAATATAGCACTATCTGGGCTGTAGACGGTGACTGGTTTCGGGGAATGCTTTTTTTTTTGATAGAAAATCCTATGTCATTATCCATAAAGCCGTTATGTAATTGCCCTCAAATCACCCTACACCAAGCAGGTTCAGCTTGAAATCCAGGTTCATTTGGTTTATGTGAAGAAATTGCGAGGCGTGGTACAGTGCTTATGTTTTCTTTGGACTGACAATTAATATTTTTGTGACGATAGTAGCGGGAGCAGCAGTAGCACTGTGAGTAAGGCGTTGGCTCACGAGCCAGGAGCCTGTTTCACAAAATTTTAACTAAAATCAAAGTTTTAGTAATTGGATTGGATAATATTAGAATGATTTTAGTGCTTATAGCCAATCAAAATTGAAGTATCTACTAAAATTTGGATTTTACCTTTAGTTAAGATTTCGAGAAACAGGCCCCAGGAGGTCCGGAATTAGCTTTCGGTGTTGACCGTTAAAGTTCATCGCGATATTCCGTTGTGATTTTTCCGTGTCAGCGATGCACGACAAAGCGTGTGGCACGGTACATCGTCTAATCGTTCGGGTGGGATAAACACGCGAGGTCCCGTATACACGTTGGAATGCATGCAAAAGCCCACTTGACAGTTGGAGTTTAAAATATGAGTAGGTCGGAGCACCACTGCCCGGGTAGAATTCCTTGATAACTCAAGAGATCGTGCAGACAAGCAGACAAGCGGTGCGCGGAGACGATCTTTGCGATAAGTAGTATGAGTAAAATAAATCATCAAGCATCACATTCCGTTCTTTTGCTAACAATGGTTCATACCAATCGAGTTTCGTATTCGGAATACCCGCACGCCCCTAGATCTGGACCTGACCAGGTTATATCTTTAAGGATGTTAAGGTTAGAACGTCGGGGTATTTAGTCTTTAAATTCTGTCATTATATTGGTTTCATTATTAGCCGAATTGTGCCGAATTTGTCCACTGGACATTTGTCTTTGACCACATGTTAGGACCAATCCTTGATTTGTATTATTCCCGTGATCCATGTACCATACAGCATACAATGTAGAAACCACAACAGTCTTGCTGTCACTGGTAAATGCTATGGATTTATTTTAGGACATACTGATGGAATGATTTCGTGAGACTCTTTTGTTAAGTTGTATTGTGTTAATTTTTCTTCCATCTACTTGAAATTACTTTTGTCATGTGTGGCAGCAACTTCACCAACTCAACGCATTATCATACGTTTGAGTTGTCGATCGCTCCAGTATAATTTGAACTAACTGGCCGAAATAACTATATCAGTAATTCCATTGTACATAATAGGCGGGCACTAGCCAGAACAACAAATTGACACAGTTCCACCTCGTCTCAGGAAACACACATTCAACGACCTTCTGTTACATCTGCCCGGTCTCTAGGAACTGGGATTCTGGTACTAAGATGAAGGTTTGTAGAACCTAATGTATCGTATCTATCTGGAGTAGCAGGAATCTCACCAACACACCATTTAGTTGTCACGGGTCATGTTAGCTTCTGTAGTCGATCACTCCCGTCTAAAATATACGATGGCATTAACAACAAAACAATTTTACATTGTGTTATTTCTGCTTCAGGCAATAGGGGCTGGAATACTGGTAGAACGTTCCAAGGAGGTTTGTAGAACCTAATGTATCTAGAAGTGGCATGTTGGGATTCGTTTTTGTTTTGTAGGCGACTATGGTAAAACACGTGTAGAAACAAATAAAATGTCATTTAACCCTAATTAAGTTTACTATTGGAAATTTTGATCGATCCTTCTACGAGGAACATGGGATAATATTACGCATAACAAATTTTATACAGATCTGTGTAAACCGGGCCACGAAATTAGACAGAAATCTTAGAAATCTGTAATTTCCTTCATTATGATAACCCACAATTATATACTAAATATTGTATTTGTTTCAGTAAACCTTACCATGTAGATGTTGCAAGCATGCTTTTTATGTTGTACGGCACCTGATACCATTTTACATTTAAACTTTCAGAATGTCTTTTATAAAAACTGAGATATTGGTAATCTTTCATTTTCTTCACAATAGTTACCAACGATTAATTGCAAAATATTTTATGTTTCAGCCACTTGGAATTCGGGTCCAAGTCAAGGCCAAGGTTTGTAAACCCCACTGTACATAGATGTGCCAAGCATGTTTTTTTTTCATTTTTATTTTAAGGTACCTGACATATTGTAGCTAATGCCGCCAGGAAGCTTTGTACTTTGGTATATTTATTATTAGTCATTCAGGAAAATGGAATACAGGAATTTCCGCAAATTATTTTCTTGGATTTGTAAATTTTCTACGGGGTGTGCCGGTGGTCAAAATTTCTAGTTCTGATATCAAAAAGGCAGTCTTTATAGTAATCCAATAATCATAACGCTTGTGTACTTGTATGTGAGGGGGGGGGGAATTATGGAACCCTAAATATGATTATTGTTATTTCGATAATACACTGTCTTGTGGGTAGGAGTGTTCAGAAGTTGGAGGAAGCAAGATCACCTTGCCTTTTACATCCCATCACCTAAACATTACATTATTACATCTCAGATTACTTCCTGATTTTCCTGGAAATAAGCACTATAACACAAGGATTACATGGTCGAAATAGTTAATCTTGTAATTTATCCATTTCAGATTACCCGGCTTATTCGGAACTAGACCAGCAAGGTTTGTTCAAATCCCATACATGTAGATGTGTAAAGCTGTAGATGTACCATGCATGTGTTTCGTTTATGAAACTCTATTTTCAAAAATAATCTTAACATGTTAAACTATGTGTCGTATTTATATTAATTTGGAAATAATTAATCTGATCCCACAATATTTTTACAGGTTGGAATCAGCAACAAAGTCAGGGTCAGGGTCAAGGTTTGTAAAACCTAAAGTATCTAGAAGTGGCATGTTTTGTTTTGTTTTCTAGAAAGTGTATTTTAGATGTTCGTGGACAGTATGTCAGTTACTCGGCCGGCACAGTCTCATAAGAGTCCGAAGAATCCATAAGAAGTCGAGAAGAACCTACAATTTATACCAGTTTTTAAACTTCAGTAGACTTTCAGTATAACGGTTGATTAATCTTCACTCTTTCTAACAGTCAAAACCGTTACTGGTGTACTTACGTTTGAGATAGCTGGAACAGTTAACAATTTTTATCCGATTTTGATGTAACTTGATATATAGGTTTATATCCCAAAGATCTCGGTTCCTCTCGATATTGGTATGTATCGGACCGTAACTTCACGGATTATGGCCCATGATTGTAAGAACAAAAAAACAAGTTTTTAGCTTGTGGACATTCCAAAGGTTACCATTTTTATACGCCCACATATTCAAGTGGACGTATATTGTCGTCGCCTCCGGACGTCCACAATTTGTTTGTGGACACTATACAGGTCACAATTCTTATCCGATTTTGACGAAACTTGAAATATAGGTTTATCTCCAAAAGATTTCGGTAGCTTTCGATATTGGCATGTATCGGATCGAAACTTCATGAATTATGGCCCCTGTTTGTACGAAAATCATGTTTTTAGCTTGTGGACCCAATAGAGGTCACAATTTTTATCCGATTTTGTTGAAACTTGAATTGTGAGTTTATAAAACAAAGATCTCGGTTCCTTTCGATATTCGCGCATATCGGACCGTAATTTCCTGAATTATGACCCCTGATTGTACGAAAAATCGCGTTTTTAGCTTGTGGATCCTATAGAGGTCATAATTTTTTATCCGATTTAAAAAACCGTATTATTATATCACCGTTACACCCTAAGGGCGGCTGAGTTCGAATTTCGTGAAAATCGGCCCAACATTGACAGACAAAATGGCCTCCCTTCGTTTTCAAAGAGCGTAAAAAATATGGTATATCAAGGTAGTGGACCCTATAGAGGTCACAATTTTTATCCGATTTTGTTGAAACTTGAAATGTAAGTTTATAACCCAAAGATCTCGATTCTTTCCGATATTCACGCATAACTTCCTGAATTATGGCCCCTGATTGTACGAAAAATCGCGTTTTTAGCTTGTTGACCCTATAGAGGTCATAATTTTTATCCGATTAAAAAAAACCCGTATTATTTTATCACCGTTACACCCTAAGGACGGCTGAGTTCGAATTTCGTGAAAATCGGCCCAAAACTGACAGACAAAATAGCGTAAAAATATGGTATATCAAGCTTGTGGACACTATTGAGAACACAATTTTTATCCGATTTTTTTGAAACATGAAATGTAAGTTTATAACCCAAAGATCTCGGTTCCTGAATTATGGCCCTTGATTGTAGGAAAAATCACTTTCTTTTTAGCTTGTTCTCTATCCATCTCTCGAAAATGTGGGCGTATCCTGCCTGACAGCCGCTGGTTATCCAATTTTGATGAAACTTAAAATGTATGTTTATAAACCACAGATCTCGGTTTCTTTCGATATTTGCGCACATCGGAACTTAACTCTGTGGATTATAGTAATTTTATCTAATCTATCACCGTTACACGGTTGAAGTTGAATTTTTTGAAAATCGGACCGAAACTGTCCATCAAAGTACATGTAACTGCTGCCATTAAGGCAAATTAATTCAAAGCACGTAATACCAAGGTTGTACGAAAAATCACGTTTTTCAGGGGGGGATCTAGGAATTTTGAATGGGGGGGGGGGGCGCCGCAAAATGAGGGCACTGACCGCGGAGACGGGGCACGCCGCTGAGGGGGGGGGGGGGGCAGGCCAAGAAAATTATCCGTCATTTCCTTGCATCTGTAGCCATTCCAAGAGCGATTTGGCGGATATTTTTGTCTAAGTAAACGGTCTAATGTACTGTCCACACGTCGGGGATGGGCATGAGTGTATACGCCGCCGATTCCACAAGATAAGATGCTATCACTGATGTCTTTCTATAGTCACTTTAGGGCACCGTCAGCTAAACAACAAGAATTCGTTTGAAAGTGGAAGGATTAATTAGACCAGACTAATTGTGTGTTTGAGTCGATGGTTTGAGTCATTTGCGATCCCTGCAACGGGTTGGAAACGGACATATTTGGGTCTGAGAAAAGGCACTTTCAGCAGTAAAAAAGGGCACTGTCGGAAATGGGGCGCCCCCCCCCCCCCTGGATCCGCCTCTGTTTTTAGCTTGTGAACCGTCTACAGTTCACATTTTTTTTATCCGATTTTGATGTAACTTAATATATAGGTTTATATCCCAATTATCTCGGCTCCTTTCGATATTGGCATGCATCTTGTGGTCACAATTTTTATTTCATGTTATCTAATCTATCACCGTTACACGTTTGAGGTTGAATTTCTTGAAAATCGGACCGAAACTGTCAATCAAAGTAACCGCTACATTTAGGGAAATTAATTAAAAGCACGTCATACCAAGGTTGTACGAAAAATCACGGTTTTAGCTTGTGGACGCTCTAGAGGTCACAATTTTTATCTGATTTTAAAAACCGTTCAACTATGTCACCGTTACACCATAAACACGGTTGGGGTTGAATTTCTTGAAAATCGTACCGAAACTGTCCATCAAAATGGCCGCTCACTTTTAGGCAAAATTTTTATTCGATTTTGGTGAAACCTAAGATATATGTTTATATCGCACGTTAAATTTCAGTATTATGGCCCATGATTGTACAAAAAAACAACACATTTTTAACTTGTGGAGCATCTAGAGGTCACAATTTTTATCCCATTTTGATGAAACTTAAATCATACGCTTATATCCCAAAGATCTCGACTCCTTTTGATATTGACGCATGTCGGACCGTAACATCCTGGATTATGGCCCCTGATTGTATACAAAATCTTTTTTGTTTAGTTTGTTCTTTGTCCACCTCTTGCAAAATATGGGCGCATCTTGCATGGCAATCGCGTATTAATTTGAAGTTTATCACAGTCACTTTATATATCGAGTTTTCTTCAAGTAGCATATTTCAACTTTATTATCTACGTTGCAGGTAACTGGAATCAGGGTCAAGGTAAAGGTCATTTGTTTTTTTCAGTGAAAGATGTATTTTTCATGGTTCAAAGAAATTTAAACTTTTATTTAGAATATGTGAAATGATGCGAAAAAATCTCCTCATCAATCAAGTAATGTGTGGGGTTTTTTTTAAGCCGTGAACAATAGTACACTTGAACAGGATAGAATTGTATTATTTCTGTTTTAGATTCCTGGGGCAGACAACAAGGAGGCCAGGGAGGCCAAGGGGGCCAGGGAGGTCGTGCAGGCCAGGGAGGTCAGGGTCAAGGTTTGTCAAACCTAAAGTATCTAGATGTGGCATGTTTTCTTTTCCAGTTCATATTTTCGATCTGTGACCGTGTTAAAGTATTGTTTTTTTTAAATGATATCTTGTGGTGATTTTGTAAAGTAGTAATATATTTATGCCAGCCAGAAAAATCTGTCGTTATTAATAAACCACTAATCAATCTATTTATTAAATATATATTAATTTAGAAATTCTAATAGTTTAAAGTACCTCGATTTCTTTGATCCTGGTGAAAAATAAAATTGTCGATTTCATTAGATAATTTGTGTCGATTTGTTTTGACGGATGACAATGTTGATATAATCGATTGTTCCTGGGTAGGCACAGTAAGCCAAAAATGAAACAAAATTAGTATAACCGAATTCCGCTTAAACAGACATTATGCAAGAGCTAAATCCGTCTATTGCAGATCTTTCTTTAGGCCTGAAATGTTATCTAAATTATTATCCAGACCATAATCAACTCTAAATGTCATCGCTAGCCTGCGATCTTTAGTGGATCGTGAGCTGATTTACTGCACAACTTTCCTTCACGATTTAACGATTAAATGGATACTCGAGACTATGCTGTTTATCGTTCTGACTTTAGTAATGATGATCAAGGCTTGGCGGAAATTCAATCGCTTTGTTCTCGGTTCATAGTCGATCAATTTGAATGAAATTTTCAGCAAATTGTCTTTACATTATCTAGTTTTTAACTATTATAGTGGGAACTGCCAACTCGTTATCGAATCTCCCATAATGTATCTTTAATCTTCGGAAGTAAATATTTAAGCGTTTGCCATCGAAACGAAATAACATACTCGTATAATAACAAAAGTAACAATGGGTTTATTTCATTTAAGCCCCATTATATGCATAGCTACTCTCGAGTGATATTCCTTGTTTATCTAACAGACAGTAGGACGTTAAACCCCATTTCATTTCATTTTCCTTTTTTATCTCCCGTTAACTTCGCTTACAATAAACAAACCGCCTCAACTTATTACGTTTTTCTAACAATGTGAAAGTTTGAAGGATACAAGAATCTGTAAATAGATGCAATTGTAGCAGTATTTTACCCTATGGCAAAATTGGACATACTTTATTTTGTGAATTAATATTGCTACAGCTAGTTTGTTGTGGTGGTTTGGAACAAACGTTATTCTGAATTGTAACGTTGATGGGGTTAGCAGTTGGCATGATAATAAATCTAGTCCGTTCAATTTGCAATATGGTGTCCCATAAGGACCCATCTTGGGACCTCTGTTATTACTACCTCCAAGAAGAAAACTCTAAACTACCACTTTCATGCTGGAGACTCGCAATTTGTACATTGCTAACACAATAAATTAGGCGGGATGTATTCGTTCAGGTAAGTATATTGACTGATGGCAAGACTGGAGTGTCCTATAGCATTTGGAAATTTACATTCATTAAAAATTACAAAATAGACGACACGTCAGTATCGGGTATGCAAGATTCTTCCGTTGTATTGTGTTGCTCATTATACAATCAATATATATCCGTGTTAATCGCAAACTGTTTTATCATATTAAGTACTTTTCATCAGTCAGAATCAGTTGTTTCCATGGCTATGTTCCATTGTAGAATGTCGTTATTCAGAAATTACTTGACATCCTTCTTGTTCTTTTCGATATTTTGTCAACTGGGAAATTCTTCAAGCGAAACCAATGTGCTATGGTCTTAAATAAGCAGTAGGTGATATTTGTTCCATACGGCTTTTATACCTTCAGCACAGTATCTTCTGTATTCATGATACAATTCAAAATGTATTTCCGAATTTTAGTGTGTAGACTGCACTATTTGTTGATATACTACAAGTTTGTACCATGATCTCTATGGCTTTTACACCTTTCATCATATAAGAATTATGTTTCCTTTAAACATCAATTCCCTTTTCTGTTTCTTTTTTTCTTTTTTTTTTGAAAAAAAGAACAGGCGGATTTTTTTTCAAATTATACGTTTTTCAAAATAAGATCAATGTGACGTTTTGATTCAATTGAAGGCCGGGAATAATATAGGATTTGCATTTAAAGTTGTACTCATCCGAAGTTTCATGAATATATGTACACATATGCCCAAGGTCACATATTGTTTCATGTCAATCTGAGAGCAATAACGTTGTGAATAATTCACATATTGCGTTAAAAATTTGAAATCATCTGAGATTTCTGGATATAAAGCAACATACCAAGTTGCACCTGTGGACAGGGAAACTTTATAACAAATCTCATTAAAATCTGATAGAAATCCACACACCAAGCTGCATTACAACGGATGAAAATGTACTTTGCCGACATTTGCAATACTTTATGACCCATCTTCGAATTCGACTGTATCTATGATGTAAAGTTTTATTTTATTAAACTTGGATGGAAAGTGACTTCACTTTAAAAAGAGCCATCTTACTGTGTTGTAAGTAAGTGATTTATTCGAGATCACAAAAGGATAAATTAGTACTGTGCCATGGTATAATTTGTATTTCCATAGACAGGAGACCTGTTTAGTTAAATGCAAGCATGTAGACGCCGTCATCATGGCAACTGAATGATAGGACTTGCAGCCATATACTCATAAATGCATAATTATTTATATCGATATTTCAGCTGACCCGATGTGTAGCAATCCTACCGGGACTAATGGTATCAACTGTACAAGTTTTGCTCTTTGTCAAGATGGCGTTGTAATGGGAATACAGACGTGTGGTAGTGAACGAGGTCAGATGAAATTCAACCCTGATACAGGAGAATGTGATTGGGCTGCAAATGTTGCCTGTGACGCTCCACGTATGTGTATATCTTTTTAATTTCCAATTTTGATATAGATTTTTAATTATCCAATACTTTCTGTACCTGATATCTAAATTAACTTTTCGTGGGAAATACATCCACGACCCAATCAATTACATTTCATATTTTTTCTTTACTCACATTTTGGTTGCTATGGTTGCTTTCAGTTTCTATACTATTATCGCATTTCATTAATTTTTTTTTTCAGAGCTACACGGAGACGAAAGATGTTCAAATATTCCTCCAGGATTCGAACAATTATCTTATTTCGTTCCGGATCCAACTTATTGTAATATGTTTTTTGTTTGCGCACATGGTAATTATGTAGGCACTAGAAATTGTGCATGGGGAGAAATATTTGATGAATTCGCCTTAAACTGCACTAGAGGTGGAGCTGAGAGTTGCACTAAAGAGATACTTCCTTTTGAAAACTTACATTAAATCAACATAATTCGTCATCATGTTCCGTAAATATCATTTTAAATTTTTAAAACATAACAGAACCAGCCAGGATGTACGAAAATGGGTTCTCGATTGGTTTAACTGACAACAAAAGATTTTCCTAAAATCATATGGCATTTTTGGACTAGAGTCTTTATTGATCTCTTTTCTTGTTATTACATAGAGTAGTCGCCCTTTTAATTTTGATTTTATAGTTTATATACACACTACTCGAATAAGAAATACATTCATTAAAGTGCTATTTTGAATCTTGTGCACCGCAAATGTTAATGTATACGAAACTGTGCGAAGTAAAATAAAAATAAAAATCACGATAAGTGAGTTACCTCCCCTTGATCGCCAGGAACACAAAGACCCACTCTTGGAATCAAGGGTTCTTTTCTAATTTAAATATTTACTTTTGATTTGAAAAGATAATTCAGATCACGCCCCACCTCATCATTTGTATATATGTATGCAATGTCAGTTGTATTTATTGTGCATCTATTTATATTTCTCTTCTATGTATGGTGATATCGCTTGTATTATATTTGTATATTCATAGCTTTTAGAATAAAGATATCATTGAATAAATTACCGTTGTTTTTCTCAAGAGCTTGTTTTGGTTTATAAGGCTGGTAAGGGGGGTGTTTATTTTTCAAATTAGATTTTCAGGCAGAAAACGAAAACATTTTTTGCCTGTATTAATACAGAAACCAAACACAATCGATACACATTTTGAAATAATATTATATTTTCGGTTTTCTTATTATTTGGTACCTTTAGTTCTCTTTTCCTGCCCATTGAGTTTCACACTAAAAATGCATGGTTATAAAATGGAATTAACTTAAATCTCCGGAACACATTAATACAGACCTATAGTTTTCTTTTTAACGCAATGCTATTTTATGTTTTCACTTTTCGGGGGTGGCGCCAGCAGAACTGATAAGGAAAGTATCTCTACGATGGGATGGGATGCGTGCATATAAAAGAACCCTTGACCGTTGGAAATGAAATGAAACTGAGTTTAACGTCCTATTTTTCTGCACTGACTGGACAGACGAAGACGGACAAACGTCATACGCAAATTCGTGAAGCGTTCCATGTTTTTTAATTTGTATGCTTGATAACGACAGTGAAATCTCCATTAAACTCCATTCGTACTCTTCTGAAAAGGGGACTAGTGCACACGACACAGAATAAATTCCTAAATCTGTAACCCCTATATATCAAACAGGTATTATGCAAGAGCTAAATCTGCCTATTGCAGGTCTTCCTGTAGGTCTTAAAATGTTATATAAACTATTAATTAGACATTAATTTATTAACATGACAAGACCATAATCAACTCTTGATGCCATCTGATGGGTCCGATTTTCAACAGATTTAAATCCGATCTGCGGTTCAACGGCGGTTGATGATTACCCATAAAAATGGATAATCGAGTCTCTGTTTATTGAAATGAGGATTCCTTGGCTCAGAGTGAAGTAATTTGACTGAAATTTTCAACATATTCCCTTTACATTTTTTTACACCATTATAGCACAGGCCCTTGAAGGGATTAAAATAAAACTTCTTACTACTCTTTGACTATATATTACAGTAATAAAAAGGTGTATCAGCTGACATTTTGTTTTGACTTGTTGACGACATTTCGTCTGCTATCATCTCACAATACTCACTAGTTCTAACACTTCCCATCGTTTTTATTGCAAACGAAACTTTATTTGATCATTATACACCTTCCAATGTAATTAAATTGGTCATTTTACAGCGTTATTAACTACAAATCAAACTTGAAGCGTGATCACTTGGCTATTCGTATCTTAGACGGACCGGAAGTAAGACGAAATGAGGTCAATGACGTCATGTTGGGGAAGCCCTGATTTTTGATTGGTCGAGGCGTGTTACCAAAACTAAAATTGACCTTCATATATATATAGCTGATCGCGAATTAAGAATCTCAGAATGACAGCTGAATATTCTCATTGGAAGGTAACATACTTAGGAAAATACATACCTTGGAAAATTTAATGGATCAAAAGTAAAATGACTTTATAAGGGTGATATAATTGAACAATTTTATTTCTGCAACCTGCGTAAACGTAAAACTGTGTCGTGGGGGGGGGGGGCACATAGCACTCGGGTAGACAGGTAAAGTGATAAAAAATTAATATATTTTGGGGGGAAAAATATTTTGCCTTTAAGTCGGCGCAAAAATGAAGTGCCCGTACTGAAGAAATAAACATGTTTCGGCCGATATCTGCTATAATAGATTTTTAAAGCATCGATCATTATAAAAAATTATTTGTTTCATCAATTTTTCAGAAACAGTTATTTTTTTAAATTGTCTAATAAATTTAAAATATCTAAAATCAGTGTAAAAAAACCCGGCGTCTACTGCGATTCTATAACTTCAAAAGCCTGAATTTTTCACCCGACAAAGACGGTAAATGATAGAGCCTACAAAGCGAGGTCGCTGTTGAGCGAGACCGCAGGCCGCGTGTTTGTATTTTGGTGCAGCCTGGATCACCCAGTTCCTAGGCAAATTTTGACTAACGGATAGGTTTCTAAAGGAACTGGGTGATACAGACTGCTACAAACAAAAGCAATAGGGAATTCCTTTGACCGCATTTCGTCGTACTTCCGGTCCGTCTAAGATACGGACACAGATCACTAAAGAATCCCCATTGACTCCAATGTTAATTCTCGTATAATAGACCGGCTCTAACTTTTTCCCAAATTTTCGTTGGGTAGAACGCTTTCTACCACAGATGGAGCCACATGTGGCAACCACTTGCCCAAAAGCACGTATGAGGTTCTTCATGAAAAACTTGAGATACACAAGCTGGAAGTAGAGACAAGTAAACATGCAATTTCAGGCCCTACATTTCAACGTAACCAACCTCTCAACTCTTGTATCTTTCCGCATCAAAATTATGAATATTCACCAAAACCTGGCAGAAAATGTATTTTCAAACCCTTTTCCTCAATTCTACACCAAAAAGTCAACAAAAATCGCCATGCAAAAGGGGGAAAAAGGAAAAGGGAGAGGAAGACTAAAAATAGCGTAGGAATATTTGGTGATCTGTGTCCATACGAATAGCCAAGTGATCACGCTTCAAGTTTGATTTGTAATTAATAACGCTGTAAAATGACCAATTTAATTACATTGGAAGGTGTATAATGATCAAATAAAGTTTCGTTGGCAATAAAAACGACGGAAAGTGTTAGAACTAGTGAGTATTGTGAGATGATAGCAGACGAAATGTCGTCAACAAGTCAAAACAAAATGTCAGCTGATACACCTTCTTATTACTGTAATATATAGTCAAAGAGTAGTAAGAAGTTTTATTTTAATCCCTTCAAGTGCCTGTGCATTATAGCGAGAAATATCAGCTCTAATCTTACCTAATGCCGATTTAAGTATTTCTCTCCCTTTTCACAGTATCCCCCTTTCGCCGGGTAATTTTCTTTTTGCAGACTCTGCCTGATATGTGTGTGTCTAAAGATTTTCATGGTGAACCGAATACATGTTTTTGAGCAAATGATGCCACATGTTGCTCCAACTATGGTAGAAAGTGTTCAACCCAGAAATGGGGTTTAACGTCATTTCAGGACCAACATATGGTTCAACTTTATTTCAATAATTCGCTTCCGCGTAAGGGTCTTTAGCAGTGGGGGGAAACCGGAGGACCCGGAGAAAAGCCACGAGGTTGGACAGGCGACCCTACTCCTTGCCACGTACAACTGGAGAATCGAAACCAAGCAAGTTGACCATTCGGCCATCCACCCCGTCTGCCTCATGGGAATAAAAAAAAGAAACAAACACGTCTAGTTACCAATGTTTATTATAATTATTACATTATTTTACATGATAAATCTTTAAACATGATTTACATTTGATACACGTTGGGGAGGACGGAAACCTATTTGTTTGGGGCTTGTGAATAAAATAACAAATCTCTAATGGAACAAGAACTCATGGTTTTGGATTTTTAAAAATCCAGTGTTGAATTGAGATGATCTGATGTGCTATGACAAATAATCATTAGAAAATTTATTTTCCGTTCCAACATATCGGGCCCGAGACTAATTATGGTTCTCTTTTCGGTTTCAACTGTCGTTTGTTGAACAAATAATCAGTTATGGGCATACTTCATTGCAACTAGATGCTTATTTTATGCTTCACGCAAATGTCATTTCAGTTCTTTGCTACAATGGTAACATAGAAAGAAAGATAGGTTGCCAAGCAACGAAACATACGCCCACAACAGCTAAATCGTCCGGGCAGTCAACAAGAGTTGTTGCATATCAGAAAACCATTAGAATTTGTTTGTTTTTATAATGTTCTGCCCCATGCTAACGTTTTGTATACAAAACTTTTAATATCATGGATTTAGCTGTTCAAGCCATAAAAATTCATTGAAAATCAATATACTTGTTCGTCTCAAGATCTTAAACTCTGTGTATCAATCTGAAGTCAATCGGATGATAACTTTAGCCTTTAGAGCGTCACAAAGTGATCAAGGGCCATAACTTTGGCAGTAATCATCGGAAATCGTTGAAAATCTATAAGATTCTTCGTCTCATGACCTTAAACACTGTGTATAAATTTAAAGTCAATCGGATATTAACTTTGGCCTATGGAGCGTCCACAAGATTTTTTTTAAGTGATCAAGGCCCATAACTCTGGCAGTAATTATCGGAAATCGTTGAAAATCAATAGGATTTTTCGTCTCATGACCTTAAACACTGTGTATAAATTTGAAGTCAATCAGATATTAACTTTGGCCTATGGAGCGTCCACAAGATTTTTTAAAGTGATCAAGGCCCATAACTCTGGCAATAATTATCGGAAATCGCTGAAAATCAATAGGCTTCTTCGTCTCAAGACCTTAAACACTGTGTATAAATTTAAAGTCAATCAGATATTAACTTTGACCTCTAGAGCGTCCACAAGCAATTGTGGACGCCGGACCGACGGACGTACCGACGGACGGACGGGGGCGACGACAATATACGACCATATTTCAATGTGGGCGTATAAAAATAATAGTTTAGGATGAACATCTAGGTTGGCCTGACAAACCAGTATCTTCTTCCCCAAGAGCATTGCATAAATTTTAGCTATAACACAAAACGTTTCAGCAACACACCCCTATTTCAAGCATATTCGTCGTCCAAATTCTACCCCAATGTCCTTGACAAATATGTCAGAAATAAAATTTACTAGAATCTTGATCATCTTCTAGACTTCGAAAAATTCATTCCCATTGTTATTGTCTGGCAGTAGTTTAATAATGCCAGTCTACCAATTGTGATTCCAAACAGGTTTTAAATTAAACATGGACAAGTACGAGTAGGAAGTCATGGCTTAGTTTTATTCACGACATCTTTTACTGCGCGTTTTAAAATTCGAATTATTTTCTATCCAGTACGGCCTAAAATAAGATTATCAAATTTACGCATGTGCCCTAAGATAGGTTGTCAGGCAACAAAACATACGCCCACAGCAGATAAGTCGTCCGTACAGTTTACGGGAGTTGTGGCATATTTTTTCTTTTGTTGGTAACGAAAGAATTTACCAGACACTATAAACTGATTAAGAGTAATAACCCATCAAGTAACCATCAGAAATCATTGTTTTGACTGGCTTGTTGTTGTTCTTCCCCATGACTTTTTGATATGGTGAATTTGGTTGAAATCGTTGAAAATCAATAGGCTTCCTAATCACAAAGACCTTAAACACTGTGCATAAGTTTAAAGTCAATCGGTAGATAACTATGGTTTCTAGAGCGCTCTCAAGACTTTTCAAATTGATCAAGGGCCATAACTCTAGCAGTAACTATCGGAAATCTGTGAAAGCCAATGGACTTCTTCGTCTGGTGACCTTAACACTGTTTATAAATTTAATCTCCAATCGGGAATTAACTTTAGCCACTAGAACCGACTAACTAACAGATGTATCGACAATATACGACCACATTTCCATGTGGACGTATAAAAAACAATGGACAATGGAAATTTGTCAGTCTCCATTAAATGTTTTTGTAAATGTCGATCACCATACATATTCTATCCTTTGAACCGCAGACAAAAACAAAGCAAGGCGGTTCTACTGGTATTCTCTGTTTAAAAAAAATACATGCACAATTTATAGACTATGAAAGAAATCCGACTATTCAGCTGCATAACATGCAGTTTATAATTTATATTTAAAACAGAACATAATCTACAACATTAGCACCATTTATGTTCCGACAAAATACAAAATTTGAGCTTTTGCGAAAAATATTTGCATATATCTATCAAAAAATAAATAAAACGTATACTTGAGCATATTATTATAATTAAAGGCACTTAATAAAACATTACGCCCATAACATTATGACTCTCTTTTACTTCAGGGAAGACTTGCGTGGTTTATAGTCTATTCGCAGCATAAAGTAAATTCCCCCAAGTAGAGTGAATCAACGCATTAACGGAGTTGTTCCGAATGGAAACAAAACATGTCTATTTACACATATTATACACCATATATAACATTATATTTTACTATATCAACTAAATAAGGCACTATCTTCTTCATTGTCACTGGGGGATTTGCGGTGGTGCATACGGGTGGTGCATCACAGAGTTGTACTCGTGTGCCTTTAAACGCAAACAGGCGATACTGGAGCCTACATTAGGCGGAGGGGTATACGAGTGATTAACCAGAGAGCAGCTCGATGGGGTGGCGGAAGGATTATAAGCTGGAGGAGAAGACCACGCGAGATAATCTGAATTCATTGGTGTGTGACGTGGCGTGATAGGTTGTTCGATGGGTGTTGCTTCCGGACTTCGTCCATAAACGTTTTGACGTTGTGCCATCATATTCCTCTCATTACGTCGAAACTTAGCTCTTCTGTTCTGAAACCAAACCTGTTCAAAATAAAAATAAAAATATTGTTTTATTAGTGATATACTAATTTCAAGAAACCACAACGATAAAACTGACTAAAAATAACATAAGCCCATGCCATGAATGTATCCAGCAGCATCGAATGTCGCTCTTATCCATAAGGATATCACCATCTTATCAGTGAAAATTATTAATTCGCAAGGAATTTAACTCTAGCCCAATGAAAACGCAATATGCTAAAAACCTTTAACTTCGGATACTAATATAATTAGTTCGACAAACAGCAAGATTTATGATCCACTGATTCAATACAAACCCATTTCCCAAATCCTAGAGGGGTTTGCTCCTCTAAATTTTGATCCACCGACTCAATAGTAACTCATTTCCAAAATCCTAGAGGGGTTTGTTTCTCTAAATGATGTTAGTGCAGAATCACGCATGGACTGATCCATGCTGGGTTCTCTTCTCACCTGAACTCTAGCTTCACTGAGGTTAACACGTCTTGCTAACTCCTCTCTGACAAATGCGTCTGGATAATGGGTTCTTTCAAATACTCGTTCTAATGCAGCAAGTTGTGTACTGTTAAACGTTGTTCTGTTACGTCTTTGTTTTCTACGTCTTTTACCATCAGGGTCGTCTTTTCTATCTTCGTCATCAGCTGAAATTACAAAAGCGGATCATTTAGGTAAATTCGTTTATTTAAACACTGCATTGTCAAATCTCCAACTCCACCCCACCCAACACCCTCCTTGGGAGGATGGAAGGCCAAATGGTTAACACATGCCCGCTGTATCATAAGGTCTGTCATTGAGTCAATTGGCGTGGTTTCGATTCCCCGGTTGTACGTGACAAGGAGCAGGGTCGTCTGTCCAACCTCATGGGTATTCTTTGGGTCCTCCAGTTCCTCCCACTGCTAAAGACCCCTACGTGCAAGCGAATTATTGAAATAAAATTGAACCATGTGTTAATCCCGAAATGACCTAGTTTGTGTCGAGTGGACGTTAAACCCCCATTTCTCTCCCCCCCCCCCCCTCCCGTCTCAAAGTATTCAAATTTATATATATTTCATCCATTCTTGTAACAAATGAATTCAAAGAACCTAAACTTCTTTGATTTGGGTCCAATTAAAGTAATGAAATGGGTTTATTTGATTTGAGTTGATGGGTGTTATTTCCATTAGTGATTGTACAAGCTTTATACAACTACATTTATTTTTTCAAAAAAAGAATCGGAAGTTAGGGTGTTCATGTTCAACAGATATTCAGTTATATCTCATCATTTCAAATAAATAATAAAATTTACAGATCCGTTTCCGATTTATTTATTTCATCATATAAAATTCATTTGGTCGAAAGGAACATCCTTTGGCTAGAAAGTATGTAATGCAACGCACGGGTGTGGATATAAAACCAACATGCAATACAAGTATTTCAATCTTCTAAATAAAGGAATGGGAGTCAACGTACACGGCATTTTATTTTTCTAAAACGAAAACTCGTTAGTTTTATCTGACGATCTTGCGGAAACCACCTTCAGAAATATTTAAGGGGTGGTCATGTGACCCGTCAAACCGCCTCTAAAAAGAATCGGCGGCAGAATGTCGAGACAGCCGAAACGTAGCGGAAAGAAATATAGCGTCTCAAATGATGTTGTTGAAATGTTGTCTTAAAGAAGACAATAAATGGCTGGAAGTATTTCTGCTTTAAAGAATCAGTTTGACATCTTGTGAATATAATTAGCCGTGATTTATGTTAAGAGATGGTCTTCACGAAGATAGATGGGCGCTTTCAGCAATAGCTTTCCGTCAAATTTGGGAATCTGTTAGGTGAAACGAAAGACTATTAGTATTTCAGCACCATGGCTGGATGTACATTATCTGTTTAATGTAGGTCCTCTAATTATAAGATTTCTTTCTGCGCGTTAAGAGCGAGATGTAATAGATATCCAAAGAAATATTTTCTATAACATGCTGTTCTTTGTTACACGTTATATTTCTTCTAGACAGATTTGTAAAATAGAAGATACGACTACTATATGGAAATCTATCAAGACAAACGCTCGGTCCGCCAATTATAAATGATACTATAAACCTTCAATCATCGAGATTTAAGTAGGGTTACAACCACAGAAGTAAAGAGATTGTGCGGTTTATTTATACTCTAACTCCTGACTCTAACCATGTTCAAATTCTCGTATCCCAGCTTTAAAGGGGGTTCAGAAGTGGTATAAATGTGATTAAAATCAAAGTTGCCTTCAAATCGTTTTTTTTTTTTCATTTTGTATACTATATGTTTTACCGCCGTGATCGTTCTTGTGTGTGTTATCTAAGGGTGTTTATATCCCCAAACTGATTATTTTTCCAACTTAGTTGGTATTCTAGTCCTATGGTCAATTGTAAGTAAAACTAGATACCAAACTTAGAAATCTACCACTGTCCGACTAAGGGATAACATAAACCTTTCATTGTTTTAAACCAATGTGGTATATACTTTTTCAATTTCTTACGTCATTTTGAATTGTTATCTTGAATAATGTCCCATTTTTCACTTCTGTTTTTAATAACGTATCATATCTTGGTCAGAGGAGTTAAGATAGGCTTACTGTGTGGTATCAGATTTGTCGGTGTGTTTACATATTTACCGGTATTAAAGAATAGAAGAAATATTCGAAATGTGTCGAAGTTTTCTCTAAAACACTCCAAAATACAGCACTATTCTCTCCAACTATACACAGCAGTCGGTTGAAATGATTTATGTAGTAAAGGGGTTGAAGGCTATGTTCAACTGTTTATAAAAATAACACACTGATACGATCTATTGCAAAACAAATAAACATCTTTCTTCTGCCTTCTTCTGTCGTATTTAAAATAAATGGTGCTAATCTTTTTATGCTATCATAAAACTATAATTTTGACTTTTATTACGGCTATAGCACCAGAATAATCTAGAGAGTTTAATGGTAGAACAATCTGTATGACTCGATTAAACTGACTATGAAATGAGTAAACGTTACAGTTTTGATTGACTGCACTAACAACATGTGATCTCTTTCACATTACTTGGCAACAGTTGTGAGTCCAATTTAATATCACAGCTTTCTTATTATTAAAAAAAAACTTATACAATTTCATTTAGTTCATAAACTTTGGAAGCTTATTCTCTTTAGTCCTTGCCTTTATCTGTATTTATCGAAGTGTAATTAGTAAGTTTTTGCAAATGAGATATTTTATTATATTAGCCTATGGCAGTGGGACGCAGCGGCCCGGGAGTACCGAGGGAGAGTAGGTTTATACCCGACATATACAACACCATTTCACCCTTAAATTTAATGGGCTCTTCTATTAAAAGGCAAAATGATTGGATAATTGCTTGATAATTTCCGCCAAGTTGCGAAAAATACCGAGGTAATGTACGTGCATGGTTTTGTGTGTACGTCGCCATTTTGGAGTAATTGAATTGAAAGCAAAAACAAAATGGATAGTAATACGAAATCAGACGAATAATCAATCCTTTTTAGCCAACATATTGACGATGGAATAGATGTGAATGCAAATATCGATGAAGAAAATTTGGATCAAAAGGCAATCTTTTCCGATAATTCTGACAGTGAACCGTGATTGACGGTTTTCGGTATATTCAGAGAAGTTCTGAAAGAGATCTTAGACATGGAGTATCGATATGGATAACCGATTTAAATATGCCGATAAGTACGCCGTCTATTTCGGCCCTGAATGCTACAAACTGTACCATAACAATTTTTAATTGTCAAAAGAATACAAATTTATTTCTGTGTTAATTGTATTATTTCGATCATCTACGTCATCAACGATTGATATGAGCCGAATATATCGACCTGAGATGACGTCATTAGCGGTTGATATGAAATATCACCCTGTCATGACGTCATCAGCGGTTGATATGAACCGAATTTATCAACTTATGATGACGTTATGACAGGTTGTTTTGAGATAGAACTGCTATGGACACCAAAGAAAAAAATACCGCCAGTTGTATATTTAATAATAACGGGTGTTGTGGTTGGGCTAAAGCATGATTACCCTTTCTATAAAACCTCATATGACCTGGAATTTGTCTTAGGAAGTTTACTAAAAGCTTTATCAGATATACTAAATTTATTCTGTGTGCTGCGCATACAGCCTTTGTACATTAAATCATATCTATATACTCTACTACAGTGTGTAGTTATAGAAATAACTATTCTGTAATAAACCACATAAAAATTTTGTTCATTAATGAAACATCTACTGTGAAACAAAAACATTGAAATTCATGTGTAGTTTTCTTCTTATATACGTGATTTATAGTTGGTACATAGCCCATAAAACACAAGAAGAAAATGGGATGAATTTTTAAACGATGGGCTATACCTAGCAGCTGTAGATTTGTACATACGTATAATAGTCTATGTTAAAGGTGTTCTACCATCATAATCAAAGTTACCATATTGGCGGAGAGAAATGGAGTTAACGTCCACTCGACAAACATATGGTTCAATTTTATTTCAGTAATTTATTTGCCCGCAGGGGTCTTTAGCAGTGGGAGGAAACCGGAGGACACGGAGAAAACCCACGAGGTTGGACAGGCGACCCTATACCCCTTGTCAAGTACAGGCGGGGAATCGAAAGCACGCCACTTGACTGAATGACAGTCTTCCTGATACAACGCGCACGCGTTAACCCTTCGGCTACAGGCCCCTCCCCCATATTGACGGAGTAACTATTAAAATTTTGTGATTGTTTAATACGAAACAAAATGTGAATCCCATATAATGCCCCTTTCTCCATGGGCGAAATAATAATAAAGCGTTCAAACATGTTCTCCGAACAAATTAACAGGATAATTTTAGTATAATAAGGTGCCACGACCAAACAAAGTGAACTTTATAACTAGCGCCAAATTTTAGAAAAATTACGTAGTTGAATATGACAAATTGCGACATTCAATAGTTTCACCCAATAGTAAGTATCTGAACATGGCTCAGACCGACGCTATTCCATCAATTATGGCTGTTTTCAACATAACGTATTGAAATAGGTTGATCTGGTGTGTTATTTCTCTTATTATAGGATTACATTCTTGTTTCGAAAGATGAAGGCGAAGTCGGTTTGTTTCGAAGTTTTAGTTTCGTAGTCTGAATACACAGTTATTGGCTCTGTCTGCCGACCTAAACATTTTAATGACAGAATAAAATAAATCAAAACATTCAACTTAATTAAATCGGATTTAATTAGGTCGTATCGTTTTAATATTTCATTCTATTGTTTTATATATAACTATTTGATTTAATTTAACAGATGCTAAAAATAAATCTTAGATATATAAACTTTACTTTTCAATATAAACTGGAGAATCGGAATTGCTGTTGCTGTTATTATGGTTGAGCCGCTTTAACAATTATGTTGGTAAATGTCTACACGCTGTAGGAATCTGGTTTTAAATGAACATATGTTCAGGACGATCCCCTCCCCATAGAGAACTTAATTAACTGAAGCTACTACTAATATTCACTTACAGCTTACACGTACACGTTTAATGTCTCGGCAAGCAAAAGGACTTCAAGCATAAGTTTGCCAGAGGCGCCAAATTGTCGAGATATTGTCTTGAGAACTATCCTAGATGTTGGTTGATGTTGCCAGAA